GTATATGTATATATATAGATAAATAAACAAATATGTATATATATATATATATATATATATATATATATATATATATATATATATATATATATATATATATATATATATATATATATATATATATATATATATATAAATTAGTAGAAAATTACTTATCAAAAACTTTTTTTTATTTTACACTGTGTTTCATCAACAAAGACTCATTAGAAATGTTATCATGTTATCAATGTTAAAAATGTTATCAATGTTAAAATCTTTGTTGAAGAAACACAGTGTAAAATAAATTTTTTTTTTTGTTAAGTGATTTTCTACTAATTTATAATTGCTCTGTTCTTTTTAAGAACATTGAGCACTCTATTTTGTAGAATACATTTTTAAAATTGTTTAAATATATATATATATATATATATATATATATATATATATATATATATATATATATATATATATATATATATATTTAAACAATTTTTAAAATGTATCCTACAAAATAGGGCTTAATTCAACGGTCAGACATTGGTCTGGCTTCAACCTTAGATTGTCCGATCAATTTACAAAGTAATCGGACATTTTAACCAACATTTCTGTCCAAGCTTTTTTTTGACTAATTAAATTCTACAAAATATAAGCTTGGACAGGAATGGCGTGCGATTGAATGCTATTGCTGACCACGGAAATGATTTTTTTTTGTTTACAACTTGACTATGACTGTTAAGATGTTTTGATGATTTAAATGTTTCAGAAATGAGCTGAAAAAAGAAATATTAAGCCAAACTAAAACTAGGAAAATAATTGAAAAAACTAAAGAATTAGCAAAACAATTCCTTACGAAAAAAAAAAAAATATTAGCTTTAATATAAAATTAAAAAAGTTAAAATTACTTTTTGTTATGCTTTTTATTGCATTTAGAAAAAATAAATCTTTAACGATTAATTAAACATATCTTTAAAGTTTTACGTTTAATTAAATTTATGCAAAACGCTTTTACAGACTACTTCTATTAATTGTTTAATAAATGAACATTTTACTTAAATTATTGAAAAGTGAAATTAAATTATTGAAGAGAAAAAAATATAATATTTTAAAGTTGTATAAACATTTCTTTTAAAAAGTTGCAAAAAAAAATTTTTTTTTTTTCAAGTAACATTCTTTTTAAAATTGCAATTTTTATTCATTTCATGCTTTAATTAGTAAGTCTAGTTTAAAAAAAAACTTTTAAACAATTCTTTGTAAAAATAAAAACAAAAAAAAAAAAAATAAATAAATGATTTTCAGAAAGACAGAAAAATAGTTTCAAACGTTTAAATTTATCATAAAAATACATGCCTACAAAAAAAAATTAAAAATAACATTTGATTTACACATAATGCGTTTATTTTAAATGATCATTATAATTAATTTTTGATTTTATTTTAAAGCCTTTGCCTAAAATTAACTTTAGAAAAGATCAATGATTAAAAGTTATTTGTAACATAACGATTTTTTTTTATTGCATTTCTTTTTTAACTTGAAATTTTATGCTATATTTTTTTATACAATGTTCTTATATCCAAAGATATTGTTGGCTTAGCAGAGTAACAGCTATAAATAGTCATTAAGACTAATTCAAAAGTAGCGTTTGTTATTGACCAATATTTTTGTGTACCGAAGTACTACTCAAGCGCTGAGTTGGCAGTGGCAGGATTTGAACTCGTATCGTTCAATAGTCCGGTTTTTAACTTTTTATTTTGACGCTTTAACCAATTGAGCTATCCAGCCCCATTTGAATTGATAAAACATCAAAACAGCCATTGTCAAATGGTTAAGAAAAAAAAAAATTAGCGTTGTCAGTTATAGTGTGAAAATTTAAATCTATCTAAAAAAACATGCAATATTAAATTGAAATTATTTTATTAAAAAACAAAAATCTGCAATGAAATATTCTAAATAATAATGAAAGAAACTACAACTTAACTAGACTAATGTTAAATAAACTGAATAACACGACAACAGATTTGATTGCACGACTCAGTTCTGTAAAACCGTAAAAATTATAAAAATTTTTAAAACTTATTCCGACACTGTCCGGCCCAAACAAGTTTTGATCAGACAATTTGTCCGGGACTTTATAAAAAATTAAATTGAGCCCTGTATAGATATATATACATATATATATATATATATATATATATATATATATATATATATATATATATATATATATATATATATATATATATATATATATATATATGTATATTTTTATATATATATATTTTATATATTTATATTATATGTATATATATATATATATATATATATATATGTATATATATATATTATATATATATATATATTTTATATATATATATATATATATATATATATATTATATATATTATATATGATATTATTTTATTTATATATATATATATATATATATATATATATATATATATATATATATATATATATATATATATATTTATATATATATATATATATATATATTTATATATATATATATATATATATATATATATATATATATATATATATATATATATATATATATATATATATATATATATATATATATATATATATATATATATATATATATATATATATATATATATATATATATATATATATATATATATATATATATATATATATATATATATATATATATATATATATATATATATATATATATATATATATATATATATGGACACACACACACAAAACACAGGTTCGATCATTTAGATTTTTGTATGTTTTAGATGATTATGGCAAGTTTGCAAGATGTATTAGAAAATGCTGATGCACCAGGTTTTGAAATAATTTAATTACTAATACTCTCAAATAACTTTTACATTTTTATGCTTTTTTTTCCCATTTAACTATATGAGTTTTTTATTCATGGAAATTAAATTTTTAAAAATTGATTAGAATTATTATGCACAAGTTACTATTGATTAGAATCTTTTTCAATTGTTTAATCTAGTTTATATAAATGACTTTTTTAATTTAGATTTGCTGATCATAATTTTGGATATTTTAAAAATTGTTGCACATGACTACCCACATATATTTAGTGATTACTTTAGAGTAAAAACATTTTGTTATATAATAATTGTTTTTTTCAATTATTCATTTTCATTAAATAAGTTTAAACTAAAGTTAGTAATTTTTTTTAAGGATGCTGTAGATATTCTAGTTGGGTGGCATATTGATGTTTCACAGAATGATTTACTAATTGAAAAAACTGCAGGTAAATTGGATTTAATTTTTATGCATACAGAAAAAGTTGTTGAGAGCTTTAAAAAAGTGAATAAAATTAAGTACCATTGTAGAATTAATAATCTTTACTAGTTGAGATCGGACCCGTAAAAATACGGGTCTTAATAAATCTATTTCAAACGGAACTTTTTAATACTTTTTTCTTATCCTAGCTTTCCGAGTCCGTAAAATATGGGTCTTTACCGAACCTACTATTTCTATACATACCTATTCCACACCGATTATTTCAAAAACAACTTTAAGAGCAAAAAAAGTTAATAGGCTATAAAACGCCAAGGAATTGCCCACAAATTAGGCAACGCAAAATTCATTTTTCAAAAAGTAGAAGAGATCTTCAGTTCTTAAAGATGGCGATTTTCATTAAACTTAATGAGCTATATAGATTTTTTATATTATATACTCTGCAAGGAAAAATTTACATCATTTTTGTTTCCTTTAATTGTGAATTTAGCGCTGTGTAATTTATGGACAATCCCTTATTTTAAAATTTAGATAAACAATCAGCCAAAAAGTATATAAAGCCAGAAAATAATAGAGTATAATACTATTTTGATGCTTATCTAAATTATGTTGTTATTGCGCACTCGGTTTTGAATGTTTAACAGGGGCGTGGATTAATAGCTGTATAACTCTAAATTTCCTTGTTGTATCAATATTAAATAACTTTAACTTTTAATTATTTTTAAAAGTAATTAGTTTAATAAAATGGTTTCATTTAAATATAAAATTAGAATTTTTAATCATGCTCTTATAAAAAACTTTTTTAACCCCTGTACTGTTTTGAAAAAGTTAAGGTTGCCGCATGGCAAGTTCTAATCATCAGCTTGCTTTATTTTTAATTTTTGTTGTCATGACCCGTAAAATATGGGTCTTGCAAAATGTATTCCCAACCGACCTTTTTTATACTAAATTCTTACCTCAATATATTTGATTAGGAGGTAGGGAAATAACTATACAAAAATGGAAAAACTATACTCAATGTTTACATTTTAAAGCTGTAAAAAAAAATTTTATTGTAAAAGACTTTAAAAAACATGAGATGATTTAAATATGTGGAACAACGGACTTACCATGAGCCGTTTAATACTGGTCACGGTAAGTCTATTCCGCACTGACCAAAATAACTTCTCTTTATTTCAATAATTTTTAAAGAGATAAATATAAAAATCTTGATATAACCTTATTTTGATATAAATGTTCAATACTTCATAACTTCAACAAATTTCTATAATAAAAAAAAAAAAAAAAAAAAAAAAAAAAAAAAAAAAAACGGGACGGCGGTTATTTTTTCCTTTAATAAGTTTCTACTATTTTTTTTTTTTTCAAATCTGCAGCTTATTTGGACTCTTTCCCTGTTAATTTTAAGGAAAAATGATTTTTTCTTAAAATTAACAGAGCATGTAAAATATTTTTCTATAAGAAAGAAAGTTATCTTTTTAATGCGCAGACTTTACTAATTACTAAGCAAATTAACAACTTAAGTATCTCTATCATGACATATGCTCAACAAAATTTTAACCGTGTTTTTAGAAATTTTAAAAAACATGTATTAACTGGAAATCAATTTATTTAAACATAATAACAAAAAAAATACATATAAAGATAAGTATGTTTACAAAAAAATATTCAACTAAATTTGCAAAACTCATAAATCAGTGTTTTTTCGTAAAAACTCAGCTAACTGAAGACTTTGAAATATTTTCTTAAAAATTGTAACCATTTCTAACTTAGTCATTGTGAAATGTTTAAACTCTATTGCAACTCTAGTATATGCATAGAATTTGTTATTTTTAATTTGTAAAAAAGGTCAGAAAACGTGTAATATAAATAAAACCCTAGCTCAAACTGAAGACATAAAAAAAATATACAAAAATTTGGCACAATTACTTTTTATAGCATTATGCAACTTTTCCGCTCTATTACAATTTCAAATTCAAAAAAAGTTGTTTTTCGATACACCCTATTAAGCACCTCATCTTAAGCACCTCATATGAATATTAAAACAAAAATCTGGTTGTTTTAAATTAATTTATTTGGGATATTTCAATGAATGTCTTTTGAGTCATTTGTTTCCAGTTAAAATTTAGAAATTTATTTTTAAAAAAATATAAAAAATACATTATTAGTATAATTATAAATTTAGACATTTGTATGCATTTTTTTCTCCTATGAAATAACATATTTGATTTTTAGATTGTCTTGTAAGCTTTCACCCTTATTGGGTCTCAGACATGCGGTTTTCTTTAACATTACTAGGACAGTTTCTTGAAGATATGGAGGCTTATGCTGAGGTAACTTTTTATAAAGTTTGTTAAATTATGTCAGTTGAAAAAAGTTAAATTTGTTAAATTATGTCAGTTGTGTATTTTGAAGAACCGCATTGTAATTGAATTTAATTTTGAAACCATTTAAAGTCTTTATCTATATAAAATATTTTTAAATTAAACAATATTGTTATATCAATGAAATTTAAAAATGTTGTTTGAAACAAAAAAAATATCCTTAATATAAAAAAATAAAATAATTAATATAAAAAACTTATACTTATTCAAGCTTATATTTATTTCTTAAAAACACAACATTATTGTCTTATGTTTGCTTTTTCACAATATGTTTTTTTTTTTTTAATGACGAGGTAGTTGTTTAAGGGTGAATTTCTTAACATTCAAAAAAGTAAATAAAGACTATCAAATTTTTTTTTTAATTTTTGCTTTTAACAAAATTATTATCTTTAAATAAATTAGAAATTTTGTTTTTTAATTAATTTATTTTATTTTCTTTTTTATTTAATTTTGGTTTTAACAAAATTATTATCTTCAAATTAATTTAAAATTTTCTTATTATTTCATTTATTTTATTTATTATTATTTATTTATTATTATTTTTTCTTTAAATTATTTTCTTTAAATTATTCATTATTATATATTTTTTTAATTTTGGTTTTAACTAAATTATTATCTATTACCATAAACTAGTTAATCATTTCTAATCGTTGTTTATTCTAAGATCAATCTAAAAACTTAATGATAATGAAAAAAAACTTTTGTTAAGAAATAATTTTAAAACTAAAAAAAATCATTTTTTCATAAATTTGTTACATAAAGTTTACTAAAATAAGTCTCTAAATTAATTTTGTTGACAGTTTATAAGTTTTATATACAGTTATAAGTATAAAATACCTTTGTAACGAGATGAAAAAAGTTTATAGGTTTAAAACTATAAATAAATAAATAAAAAATAAATAAATTTAAACAAATAATAAATTTACAAATAAATTACATAGTTGAATGTAAAATGAACATAAAAAAGTAACTAAAATTAAATTTGATAAAAATAATTTTCTTAAAGGGGTCCTCAAATGTCGAGACAAGTTGTGTTCATATCATAGATAAACATTAGAAAGTAAGTTAAAAGTTAATTAAACTTTCCAAAACAAATTATTGAATGAGATATCAACAAAAAACTTCTTATTTTTTAACGCCATTTTGTTTCTTGCAAAATATTTTTTGAATCCGGTCTGAATAATAATCAATATAAAGTTACTTTCAAAAAACTTAAAAGTAGGGGTTTCCCCTATAGCGTTAAATAAAAATATATAATTCAAGTTTTTAATATCAATTTTATATATATCAAAAAAATATATATTAGAACAGTTTTTTGAATTAGAAATATAAATTATTATAAATATAAGTTAAAAATATATATAAAATCATTTTTAAATGGGTTTCCTGCGTTTATTAAAAAAATAGAAATTTTTAAATCTTTCAAAATTTAACTATGTTGGATTATATTGTATTTAGTGTTGTATATAAAAAAATTGATTACTTACTTTCTAGGAAAAATATTCATCTGGTGTATTTTAAAGTTTGCTTCGCTTAATTACTATTTTTATTTTAACTCAAACACTTAACGATATGTTGAACAAAAAAAAAAACATGTTACAGCAAACATTTTTTATAACCATTGCAGACTAAAGGGAAAACCCATTTCGCTCATCGTAGAGTTTTGTAAAACTAAGTTTAAAAAACTCTACGATGAGCGAAAACATTTATTTTTTCCATTATAAAAACCATATGTTTTTATAATGAAAAAAACTACGCAGTTTGAGAGCCTAAAATTAGGCTCTCAACCGGAAGTATAAGGGCAAAACAACAAATGCTTTTGTTAATATCTCATTATATAATTTGTTTTGGAAAGTTTAAATAACTTTTAACTTATTTTCTAATGTTTATCTATGATATGAACTAATCTTGTCTTGGCACTTTGGGATCCTTTCAAACATGTTTAGAATTTTTTGAAGTTAAAAAAATTGTAAAATGGACCATTTAAAATTTTTAAAAAAATTTAAGTAGAATTTAATAAATTTAAATTTATTAATATTTAATAATAAATTTAATTTAAATATAATTTTTTTTTTTACAGCAATTAATTACTGCTTATTGTTTTTGCATAAACTATTTTAAAAGACGGTTTAAGAAATCTAGTTGAAAAAACTGTTAGCATAATGTAAATGGCTTAATGTGTAGGTGAAATTGCCATTTCGTATGTAAAATTCACATGACATAACACTTCTTAACAAGACCTATATATACCTACCTCATCAATATTCTCTGTTTTAAATTTAATGCCAGCGCACAAATATGTGCTGCTCGGATGGTTATTCTTAGGCTAGCATTTGTGATTTAAAAATTCATTTTTATTTGCTATATAAAATTTAAAAAACAAACAGCAAAAATAAAGATTTAGATATGTTCTAATTAAAATAATTAAAATATAAACAGCAAAAAGGAACATTTTTTAAAATTTGAAACAAAAAAATAAAAATAAAAACAACAAAACATTTTATTTACATTTTAAATAAGATAATTATTCTATAAACAACAAAACAAAGATTTTATTTAAATACTAAATAAAATAGTTAAAATAAAAATGGCAATAAAAAAAAAGGTTTTATTTTAATTCTAAATAAAATAACTAAAATAAAAACAGTAAAATAAGTGTTTTATTTAAATTCTAAATAAAAAAATTTGAACATAAAAGCATTACCACGATTTTTACCGCAAAAACTTTGGCAAGCGCATAAAAAAGTGGTTGCCAAAGAAATAAAAGCATTTTGTTTTAAATTGCAGCAATACTTTTTTGTTTATTTGTTAAACTTTTATAAAATGTGGCTTTTTTTTCAGTTTTTTTTTTCAGTTTTGTAATTATTTTATTTAGTATTTATTCAAAGCATTCTTTTAGTTATTTTAATTTAAATAGCAAATCAAAATAAATTCTTTAAATCGCACAGGCTAACTTAAAAATGACCATCCTGTCAGCCCTTTATCTTGCGTTGGTGTTAAATTTCAAACGGAAGAGACTGATATATATATATATATATATATATATATATATATATATATATATAAATTGTTTATATAATGTATAATGTATATTTGAATATAGTTAAACATGTTTATAGGAGTTAGGTGGTATTACAAATTGCAAGTTTAGTAAAGAAGACACACCATCTCCTTTAGTATCATTATCAAAACTTACTGCTCTTACCGGGTAACATACGTTATGAGATTTTTTAATTTTTGTGTCAAGAGAAAACTAAATTTAGATTTTTTTACCATTTTAATTGTTTTATAGGGTTTTTACTACAGTTGTGACAGGATTAGGTGAATATTTTAGTCCTGGGAGAGAAGCAAAGATTACTGGAAATTATGTTGTGGAGGTAATTGTTTAGTTTAACCAGTATAAAATGATACTCAACATCTTTTTTTATAATTTTTACTGCTAATCAACAAAAAACGATGGCTTGTGGATATTTTTTTGGCTGCCACATGCAGTTTAAATTAGTTTTCATTTGCATTATTATTACCACAGTTTGCCACCATTGGAAAACAACGTATTCTCTATCAATGTTTAATTACACCATTGTTTGATATGTGTGGTGAAGTCACTTAAAATTTTTGTACCTATGTCATTATCAACAAATTTTACCAATTTTGTTTACAGACTTTTTTATTGCAAAACATTTATTTGAATTTATGGAGTTTCAAACAAAAACAAAGATGATAAAGTGTCATAATTGTCTAAGTGTTTTATAGGCTTTTTCTAAAAAATTAAACCTATAAAGGATAATCTAATTTAACAATTAATCAATAAAAGAACAATGAATATAGAAAATGAAAATAAAATTAGCTTTTATAGTTTTTAAAAAAATAACCTGTATAATCCTGTGACCTGTATAATCCTTTTTTTACGTAGGAGAGTGCAATGCAAAAAACTTTTTACGTAGGAGAGTGCAATGCAAAAAACTTTTTACTTAGGAGAGTGCAATGCAAAAAACTTTTTACGTAGGAGAGTGCAATGCAAAAAACTTTTTATGTAGGAGAGTGCAATGCAAAAAACTTTAAACCTTTAAAGTTAAGATTTTTATGGCACTCTCACATTAATATATAACAAATGTTTACGATAAACTTGGTAACTGTATCTTGTATAATCAAATGTATTAAAGAATAGCTTGTCAAGCGAAATTGCAATTAAGTATAATTTAGCTGCATACAGTACATAAAATAAAGTTTGTTTCAATAATTTTTTTTTTTTGGGGTTACCACCATCTTAATAACCACCACCATAATAATGAACCAGTGCAAATCTAGCTTGTTACTACTTCTGATTATTATTGCTTATTACTAATTATCTAACATAAATTAGAGCAATTTAACTTAGGTTATCAAGTTCTTTGCTCCTTACTATAGGCACCATGCCTATTATTATTCTATGAGTATTAACTTTTTTTATATTAATAATATTTTCTTTTTTGTTATTAGTTTGTGTTATTTTCAAAAATTTTGGTTAAAATATCTTTTTACTTACTTCAATGTAACAAAGTTGATTGGACAGTAATTATAGCCATTACAGTTATTAAGAAATAAACTTTAAACTCCTTCTCTGGATAAATAGCATTATACAATTTAATGTCTTCATTAGACTCCTAATGTCTTCTAAAGTACAATGAATGTCTTCATTCAGACTTAATGTCTTCTTGATGAATTCAATTGAACTTTTCAAGTATATGGTTTAAATTGTTAAAGTATATACATTTTTTAATTTTTTTTAAAAAGTAATTTTATTATCTTTTTAAATTAACATTTATTTTTAAAAAATTAGCCACTTAAAAGAATCATTTAACTTAATAAAATAAAGAATTTAATTAAGTAATATTGTTTAATGTTTATTAATTTGTTATGTATTTAATTTAAAATTTAATAGTAATTTTTTTATTTAGACTGTTGATCGAATTATACATTGTGTTGATATTTGTGGTTACGATCTTAAATATGAAAAACTTCTCAGTTCAGGTTGAATTTCAAATTGGATTATGCATAAGTTGTTTCGTCAAGAAATTTAAAATTTATCTAATAGTTTGAAATTTTTTTTTTTTCAAGCAAATAAATGTTTAACGGTGTTAGTTGGTTTATTGGGCCATAATATAAGCATGTGCTGTGTGAAGTTGGTTGGTTTTGTCAACTCTCAACTAGGATGCAACCATTATCTCTCTTATGATTTACTCAAGTCTGCTCTTCATTTAATTGAGGTATGTTCTAAGTATATCTCTTTAATGATTTTATCTCTCTTTTAAAAAATATTTAAATAACTACGTAATAATATTTAAATAATTATGTAATAATATTTAAATAATTATGTAACAATATTTAAATAATTACGTAATAATAAATAAATTAAATCCTGGTAAAAATAAAAAGTTTTAGTTTAGAAAAATAAAGAATAAAATGTTAGCATATGTAACTCTAGTCACTAGTCCCTCTAATTACTAGACTGCCTATCTATTAGACTTATGTATTTGATTATCTAACTATTAGACTCATGTGTATGACTATCTATCTATTAGACTCATGTATTTGATTATCTATCTATTAGACTCGTGTATTTGATTATCTATCTAATAGACTCGTGTATTTGATTATCTATCTATTAGACTCATGTATTTGATTATCTATCTAATAGACTCGTGTATTTGACTATCTATCTATTATACTCATATTTTTGATTATCTATCTATTAGACTCATATATTTGACTACCTATCTATTAGACTCATTTTTTTGATTATCTATCTATTAGACTCATGTATTTGATTATCTATCTAATAGACTCATGTTTTTGATCATCTATCTAAAAGACTCATCCATGTAATACTACTCTCCCTACATCTATCTTTTTCATTTAGGCTTGTTTGTTTGATATTTATTATTAAATTTTTTTTTTAAACATTTTATGTTATTTTATTTATCATTCCTTTATATTCTTTATGTTATGGCTTTAGGCATTCCAATAATTTAAGTATTTCATATTTTTATCATAAATCCATTCTTATAATAATATTCAATGACTAGTCTGTTAGTTGTAATGTTAGTTTTATTTTAATTTTAAATTTTCTGAACATTTTTGTTTTCAATTGTTTAATATGTGTTTATTCAGATGACCATTTTTATTTAGATAATTACTAATGTAGGCCAATCACTGCCAATGGGTATAATTCCAGAGCTTTTACAACCAAAAAAACCTCTTATGACACTTAGATGTCATGTTGATCCTGACATTTTAAAAATAATACTTAAGATATTCCAAACCTTATTGAGCATAAAAAACATACCATTTTTGGAAGCTGTTTATAAGTAAGTAAATTGTTGACATTAATATTGTCGACATTAGACTAATTCTTATCTACTAGTCTTAATTTTACTCTAAATCTGTTTCTTTGCAATTTTATTTTTTTTATCAATGTTTAGATATGTTGTTGATGACATCAAAATGGCGTACAACATTTTGGTTAGAAGTGTTAGTGATCAAGAGATTTCTTCTGAAACCAAAGTAAATTTTTTTTTGTTATATTATATCTTTTCTTCTTATTATGAAATATTATTTCTTTATAGAAAACTTTTTAATAAAAAAGCCAAATTATATTTTTGTAGCAGGTTGAAGAAGAAAGCATTTCTACAAGTGACGCATACTGTATTGTCATATTTGATTTATCAGCTCTTGCTGAAATCGCTACTTTTAAGTCATCAGTCACTGGTGCTTGGAGAGTTGATCCAACCACTTATAGTTTGTTAACTGAAAGCCTTGATCCTACAGATGAACAACTTGTTATTAATTATCCAGCAGTGCAATTTTCAATACTTAGTTGTCTCTTTGTACATTCACAAAGGTGTAATCATTTTATACCTAGTTCAAAAACAAAAAGTGCCATTCATTCTTTCGAATCTCAACATTTAATTAAAATGTTATGCAAAATATCCACCAGCCAGTTTACTTCTGTTGACACCAAGTAAGTTTTTGTGGTGTGTTTTATAGGTATGGTGTAGGGTTTGTAAATTTATTTAAGTTAACTTGTAATTTTTATTAAAGATTTTTTTATTTACCGGTTATTCAGTAAATGAAAATTAAAATATTGGTAAATTACCAGTAAATTTTTTATATCAATGAAATAATCTAGATATAGGGATGTAATACCATCTTTATTAAATAACATTTTTTTAAATAAAAATGAACGTCTAAGAAAGCTTAAATTATCTGATGTTATCAAATTAGTCCAGCTCCTGGTAATACTCTTTTAGATTCAACATTTGTTGGACAAATGGTCATTAAATAATCGAAAAATGTTTGAATGTACTTCCCTCATATTTTCTTGTTGAAAATAATTTATTTTTAATCACTTTGTTACTTTCTTTTAAAACAGTTATTCCTTGATTCATGTCTGTTTATTTTAATAAGATGAAGTTTTTTCCTTCATAGAAAATCGATTTAATAATAATGATGTTGTTATTTGAGTCCTTATTTGATTCATTTGAGTGTCTCTGAATACTATTGTCAGATATAGTTGTATAAGATGCTTTTTACAATGTCAACAATACATTTAATAATTGTGGCTTGGCTGCTGATATTTAAAATGGCCTAATTATCTAAAACAGATAAAAACTAAGTAGAGTTTGTTATACAATGAAACATGTTTAAAAATGCCATTCTTCTCTCTTTAATACAGCATATTCTTTTTTTCAATACAATATATAGTCTTTTTTTTAGCGCAATACTTAAAAATGTGTTTTGGCTACTGAATTCATCTAGCATAAATTTTTGTGTAGGATTGGCTTCATATAAATTAACTTTTTCAGTGCAGAGAGTTTCAACTGGCAACTTGATAGGTTGTAAGCTTGATATTATTTTTGAGAGTAATTTTACTTTGTATTTCATGTCCATTTTTAAATCCATCAGACTTTTTCAAATTTTTTTATCTAAGTTTTAATAATATTTCCTGGCTGCTAGATGAACTACTTTATATTGTTTTATAGTCTAAAATTAAAGAAATTATTCTGATTTTTTTGATTAAACAATTCAACTCTGCGTTTTGTAGAAAAAGGTTGACTGTGTCAGTAGCTTCGTGGTCTCCTTCAAAGTTTTGATGTTCAATTTCTGAATGATCAGAAGAAGAGGATCAGCATTAAGTAATACATTACCATCAAATTCATTAACATCTTGAGCATCTGTTATGCTAATATTATGCGATGCTAATATTATAAAGAACTTTTATGGTTTCTAATTGTAGGCCAATGCTTAAGACATAACTGATGCAAGTAGTTTTACTTTTCTCTTATTAGTGGCAGTTTTGTTTAATGTTATGCAAACAATATTTGACAAGGCTATATTAATTTCCTCTAGCTTTTTTTTAATTCATTTTGCACATTCCTCAGCAGACCATGAATTTGACTCAATCTGAGAACTTACCATCATTTCCATGAATATTAGTATTTATTTATTGACTATTTTAATAGGGTGTCGACTCTTCTGTTGTAGTGCTGTATGCTTTGTTATTAATCTTATTCTGTAAAATATATGCTTTGTTATGAAGCATGTTTTGTAAAATTTCCATTCCAAAACTATTTTCTTTATTTTATCTGCATAATTCATTACATGTTTTTGAATTTTTGGGATCTTTTTTTTAGCGATTTTGGCATTTCTCTGTAAGTTTTATGCTTTCAATTTCATGTTTCAATTTTCAGATATAAAATGTTTTACATCTGAAGATTTAAAAATTTAGATGTTTATTGAAAGCATGTTTAGCAATTTTTGAAAGTATAGCTTCAAGAGATGTTTATTGAAAGCATGTTTAGCAATTTTTGAAAGTATAGCTTCAAGAGATGTTTATTGAAAGCATGTTTAGCAATTTTTGAAAGTATAGCTTCAAGAGATTTAATATATATATTTTTTTTTTGAAAAAAAAAGTTTTTGATGTTATAGCAACTGCCAGTTCTTTTGATTGATCTTGGATATTTCTTTTTAAAATATTAATTATATGTTGACATGTTTAATGGGCATGTGAGTTACTAGTACTTCCACATGTTGTTTTTATTTTTTGTGTGCATTATTTACTTATATATAAATCTCTAATTTCTGAATGATGATATTAATACCAAATTAAATTTTAATCCATTAAATGTAATGTAGATCTTTGAAACAAAATATAACATAAGAATTTTCATTAACAATAAAAAACACCAGCACCTAAATAAAATCTATTGATTGAAGTTGCCAAACAAGCCAAAATCTATATTATAACAAACATATTTTAATTACAGTTGTCAACTTTACTCATGCGTTAAGTTTTAACAAAAGGATGCATTAAACTTTTAAGATTGTAATGTTACTGATAAGAAGATAAACACACTTAGATTCTTTGACATTTCTAACACAATATTTTTATATATATATAACAACCAGCAGTTGCAATTTAAAGCAATCCATGTGTAATAAAAAATCACAAATTACCAGTAAAGTTTTGTAATTTACTGTTTAAATTTTTTAACTAAAATTATTATTACGATGTCTAGTATAGTGTATTTGTTATGTGCAATATGTTTGTTAAGTGTAATGCATATGTTATCTGCGTTTGATAGCATTAACTATTGTAATTTATTTTCTGATTTTTTTTGTTTTGTAAAAAAGATTTATAACAACAAAGAAACTTTTTTTTTGAGTTTTAAATTACATTTTATAGTGAGTAAAATATAAGTTAATTGATTTTACTTTTATTAACCAACATTTAGTAATAATATAAATTTATTGAGTTAAAATGTTTTTATTTAAAGATGTTTGTGTAGCATATGGTTAAGTGACATCATTAACTCAATAGCAGCTCTGCCTATGGATTTACAGAAACGCCAATGGAATGTTACACAAGTAGTTAATGCTCTAGTTGTTCTTTGTAAGCAAATTTTTTATTATAAATTTAAAAAAAATGATCTAAATACAGTTTTGTTCATTGTTTTTAATCTTTGTTTTTGAAGCATATGATGTTGATCAATCGATTAGAGATGAAATTGCAAATTCCATAATAAAAGTCACAAGTACTGGACTTATCAATCCTATAGTTTTGGGAAAGTTATTGGCAGAATGTTTGCCACACTTGACAAATAAAAATCTTCAAGAAAAGTATTTTAAAATGATTTTAACATTTCCAGCTGACATTCTTGCCAGGTAAAATATTTCCTACTTATATTCTCAGGTTTTATGTGTGTGTGTGTGTGTGTGTGTGTGTGTGTGTGTGTGTGTGTGTCTATATATATATATATATATATATATATATATATATATATATATATATATATATATATATATATATATATATATATATATATATATCAATCGATTAGAGATGAAATTGCAAATTCCATAATAAAAGTCACAAGTACTGGACTTATCAATCCTATAGTTTTGGGAAAGTTATTGGCAGAATGTATATATATATATATATATATATATATATATATATATATATATATATATATATATATATATATATATATATATATATATATATATATATATATATATATATATATATATATATATATATATATATATATAAATAATATATATATATATGTATATATATATATATATATATATATATATATATATATATATATATATATATATATATATATATATATATATATATATATATATATATATATAATTTTAATGAAAAAATACAGCTTTATAATGGAGCCTAAAGTTTCATGCCATTTGGCAGTCATCAGCCATATTATTCAAATGATTGATGGATGATTGGCAAGGCAAACTTCATCAGAGATAGAGTTTGCCTTGCTTTGTTTTTTTAAAAAGTTTCCAGGTTTGGATCAGTTTCTCTATCTTTATACTAAAAAATGTGATTTATAGGTTCGGTATGTTTTACAACACACCTATTTCTGTTTATTCACTTATTTAACAGCAGACATTAGTTATATTAATATTTTCCTTTAATAAGTAATAATATATAAATAATGAAAAACATATACAGCCTGGTACCTACCAGACTTTTGTAATTGTAAAATCTGAAATCCACCCTTCAATGGACAGTGGATAATTCTACTTTCTTTTTGTTTTGGGTACTTCTCCTTCAAATGAAAGAAGTATTGCAAAACCTCTTGTTCTGTTGCAAACTTGTCTTTTGGTAAGGATGACCTGGATTCTGCTACCAAAAAATGTGTGTCAACTTTTTCTTACTTTTTCTTGACATGAATAAATCTGTAGTAAATAGCTTTAATAAGTATATGGAGTAAGTATATCATAAAAGTAATCAATATTTATTTCCCTGGTTTTTTAATCAAAATTAAATATCATTTTTGTTAAAAAGTAATTTGCATAACATGTTTAAGCAAATACGCAACATTTTTAAATTAAAGTGTAAAAATCGGTAAAAATCTGCATAACTTAACGTTTTTGTAGATAAATTTACACAAATTATTTCAATAAAATAAAATTACCATGCATTTTAATTTTTTTATTCTAACATAGAAAAAACTCTAGAAAATATTATTATTTTTTTTTTTGAGTTTTAGTACTTGCTCAAACATGCGAAAAATGGGCTTTAAAAAGGGTAAAAAAGCCTAAAATATGACTTTTGAGGCACTTAAGCAACCCCTAAAAGTGGTCAAAGTTTAAAATAAAAAAAAGTCTACTAATAAAATATGGGTCGGCACAGCAGATAACACTCCATGGTACTTTAAATTTTTTCATGACCTCAAAATGAAGCAGTCTAATAATTATAAAATTATATAATTTTATAATTATTAGATTTTCTGATATTATAATTATTAGATTTTCTGATTTTATAATTATTAGATTTTCTGATTTTATAATTATTAGATTTTCTGATTTTATAATTATTAGATTTTTTAATTTTATAATTATTAGACTGAAGCAGTCTAATAATTATAAAATTAGAAAATTTTCTGATGAGTCTTTATTGATGAAACACAGTTTTAAATGAAAAAAATATTTTGCTAAGTAATTTTCTACTAATTTGTAATTGCTCTGTTTTTATAAGAACATTGAGCACATTATTTTGTAGAATACATTTTAAATTGTTTATATATATATATATATATATATATATATATATATATATATATATATATATATATATATATATATATATATATATATATATATACATATATATATATATATATATATATATATATACATACATACATACATACATACACACATACATACATACATACATACATACATACATACATACATACATACATACATACATACATACATACATACATACATACATACATACATAGATATATATATATATATATATATATATATATATATATATATATATATATATATATATATATATATATATATATATATATATATATATATATATATATATATATATATATATATATAAGTAATAGAAAATAATATCATGACTTATTTTTTTACAGCCTTCCAACTGTTTTACTATCTTCTAATAAACTAAAGTCAGCTACATTAAATCGTTCTTTATTTGTGACCTGTAAAAATGATTTGTGGTTGTTGTGTAAGCAGCATATGCTTCGTGCTCCTTCTGGAACTATGCATACACATGCATTTAAAATAGTTATGAGACACTTGTTGCAGCCAAAAGAGAGGTATTTTAATGAAAGTTAATTTTTGCTTATTGTTTATATATGCTTATTTACATATAAAAGTGTTTATTTTTTATTCTAAGTTTTTATTTCTTCATTTTCTTATTTCAAAATATGCTTTAAACTTTTTAGTAAAGAAGCAAACTGGTCAGGTGAACATATATATTTAGCTTGCCAGCGTCTAGGTAAAGTATTAAATCCTGTTTGTGCTGAACTGATAAATTGCCAGAGATTTTCATCAAATGTGGATACTGCATTTCCTTTAAATGTAAGTTGCTATTTAACTAGAATTAAATACAACAAGTTGTTGATTGTTGAAATAAGACACTCTTGTCTTCTAAAGTAGACAATACTAAGTACTAAGATATTTAATTATTATTTAATATTAAAGTTTTAAAATTAGAAATAGTTTTGGCTAAAAAATAAAATACTTGCACAAAAAAAAAAAAAAGTTAAATTTGTGACAAAGTTGCTAATGTTTTTTTACATATCTGTATCTAAGAATCTCATAATTTATTTTACATATTTGAATCTATGAATCTCTTAATTTTTTTTTAATCATTTGTTTCTATGAATCTCTTAATTTTTTTTTATACATCTGTTTCTATGAATCTCTTAATTTTTTTTTACACATCTGTTTCTATGAATCTCTTAATTTTTTTTTACATATCTGTTTCTATGAATCTCTTAATTTTTTTTTACACATCTCTTTCTATGAATCTTTTAATAGAAATAAATAATAAAGTTAAGACATAGTTAATTTAATACTTTTATTTAATATGTAAGTTTATTACTATTGTCATCATTTTACAATTTAACAATAGATTATTTTGGGAGAAATATTTGAGTAACTTTTTATGGTAAATGATTCTTCATTTAGCTTTATTTGGTCCAAAAACTTTGAATAACTATTCGTTAACAAAAAAATAACAAGACAATTACAAAGTTTTTTAAATATTGATGTTTTAATACATTTAATTTCAATCTTTTCATGATTGTAGGGATGTTCCTTGATGATTTAAGTTCAATCTTTTTATGATTGTAGGGATGTTCCTTGATGATTTTTTCCTATAATGTAGGATGAGTGTATTTTATTAATATTAACTTCTGCATTAGTTTTTAATTAACTAAATAAGTTAGAAAATAAAAAAACTAACAAAAGATTTTTTTTATGCTTTGAATTTTTTTTTTTTAAATAAAAGTTAAATATTTTGAATTTTAATTTTAAAAATGTTTTGTTTGAAGTTGATTTTTAAATATATATATGTATATATATATTTAAATATATGTATGTATATATATTTAAATATATGTATGTATATATATTTAAATATATGTATGTATGTATATATTTAAATATATGTATGTATGTATATATTTAAATATATGTATGTTTATATATATGTATATATATATATATATATATATATATATATATATATATATATATATATATATATATATATATATATATATATATATATGTGTGTATATATATATATATATATATATATATATATATATATATATATATATATATATATATATATATATAAAAATAGTATTGCGTACTATTGTAAGCAATCTGACATCATACTGAAATAGCCTGCTGCTGGGGGCTTCAGTACATACATCGACTGACAAATAGCCTGTCTTGCAGTGGAGTGCTGCTATATCGACTGAGGGTTTCGGATGGGGAAGCAATCGTTTCATTCATCATTCTTTGTTTTTTCTTCTTCTTTTTTGAAAAAAACGGTATAGCTTAAGGTAAGCAGAAAAAGTGAGCAAATGCTTATCAAAACACGCTTTAGTAAGTGTGTATATATATATATATATATATATATATATATATATATATATATATATATATATATATATATATATATATATATATATATATATACATATCTACTATAGCATATTTATATGCGTAATTGCTCACTTTTTTTGCTCATCTAAATCAATATAGATTTTTGAGAAAAAGAAGAAGAAAACGAAGAATAATGAATGAAAAGGTTGCTGACCCATCCCAAACCCTTAGGCTATGTAGCAGCACTTCACTGCGAGTCAGGCTATTTGTCAGTCAATGTATGTACTGAAGTCAGGCTATTTGTCAGGTGGTGTATGTACTAATAACTGGCAGCAGGCTATTTCAGAATGATGTCATGCTCACCTAACTCAGCAGTATAAGATATATATATATATTAATATATATATATATATAAATATATATATATATATATATATATATATATATATATATAAATATATATATATATATATACATATACATATATATATATATATATACATATACATATATATATATATATATATATATATATACATATACATATATATATATATATATATATATATATATATATATATATATATATATATATATATATATATATATATATATATATATGTATACATATATATATATATATATATATATATATATATATATATATATATATATATATATATATATATATATATATATATATGTTTACATATATATATATATATGTTTACATATATATATATATATATATGTATACATATATATATATATGTATAAATATATATATATACATGTTATATATGTATATGTATGTATATATATATATATATATATATATATATATATATATATATATATATATATATATATATATATATATATATATACACACATACATATATATACAGGTTCAAATCTAATTATGTTTAAGTGACTCGATTTAACTTTCAACCTGGTAAAGAAAAGTATCAAAGAAACCTTTGTAGATATTAACTTTGCACTTAATTTGATATATAGTTTCAAGAAGATATAAAGTAGAAAAAATTAATAAGTGTTATTCATCAGTATAAAAATATCTACAATAATTTTATAATTATTAACAGCAAACAATTGAATTTGGTCTAAAATTGACAGGCTACTGCAAGCTCAAGCTATCATAAAAGAAAGATCACATTAAAGTTCTAGAGAACATGTTTGTTGGAGTGTTGTCTGGGCTACAAGCTTTAAAAGATTTTAATTTATAAGTGAGAAATGGCTTAAACAATGGAAGTTAGAGAGACTTTTTTGCAAAAAGAAGAAAAAAGCAAAGAATAATAAAAAAACTCTTTCTGCCCTAAACCAAGCCCTCTTGCATGTTCTTCCTATATCAGTCGTTGTATGTACTGAAGCCCTCATCAGTATGTTAAATTGCATATCTAAATGTGCTTTTATTGTAACATAAATGCATACATACATGCATACATTCATACATATTTTTTTTTATATTTAGACAAGGAGTGTCACATTTAGATATAATATTCGTGTTTGTCACATGTAGATAGAATTTGTAACATGCACACTTGATGTGTAAATCTACACATGTTTAGCATGTACATATAATAAGTCGACATGACATGAAAGGCAGAATATAATTTATTATTAATATGTTTCGTGCACATATCTTTGACATGTTTTAAATTTGATATTTTTTAGGCAACCATGTTTGATGGACTAGTTTGGTTTTGGCTTATTTGGGAAGCTGCAAATTTTTGTATAATATATAGGTTAAAAACTCCACTTGGAAAGGCTCTTGATACATTTCAAGCTATAGAAGGTGAATTTATTAATTATTTTATTTGTTATTGTTATGTTGTTATAATATTATTCTAGTCCAATAATATCACTTAATTAAAAAAGAAGTTGTAGTTAATTGTTAGTTAATTGTTAATTAGTTGTAGAACTTAATAATGGTCTTTATGAAAACCATTGTAGTAATGGTCTTTATGAAAACCATTGTAGTAATGGTCTTTATGAAAACCATTACGTCTTAAAACCATTAAATCTTTAACCATTGTAGTAATGGTCTTTATGAAAACCATCGTAGTAATGGTCTATGAGAACTGTGACTATTCTATAAAGTTTATTTGATCTAAAAACTGAAAGAAAAAAAAAAAAAGTTAGATAAACAGTAGTAGATATATACTGTCTCACTAGATAGTGATGAAAATTTTATTGCTTCCAGTTTAAAATTTCAATATTAGCAACATTGAAACCCTTATTTCATTTTCACTTTCAGTTTCAATGAAAAGTTTTAAAATACTAAAAAGGATTTCTAAAGTATGTAAGCAGTCACCAGACTATTTTTGTTGTCTGTGGTTCTTATATTAGTAGTAAACTGTAAAAGTGGCTGAGAGATTCTAGCAATTGCAAAATGCTATTTGCAATTGCTACTAGAACTTGAAGAGAACCAAATCTTGATAATCTTTATTCAACTTTCATCTTGATGACAGTTACTTTTATAGAATTGATTTTACAAAAAACAAATAAACAAAAGTAAAATACACTCTAATAGGGACATAACATACTCATTACAACCAGTTCCAAATGATGTTTGCTTACCAGTACAATGCCATCATCAAATACAGCTAGTTTCACTATTAAAATTTGACGATGGCAAGCAACTTTTATATAGTCAATTTATCGAGAAGTTGTAAATCAGTATAAATAAATGCATATATTAACTCTTGCAATTGATATATCTTGTTGTTTAATTTTATTGGTTATATTTTGCTAACAGGAGAATATTTAAACACCCTGATGAAAGAAATGGGTTTAAATACTGATTTTGTTGCTGTCATATCTTCTAAACTCCACTTTCCAACTTAGAATGAGTTTAATGATATGATTTAAATTTTGTTAAATCAAGAAATTCTGAACATAGTGACTGAGTTAATAGTGAACATAATCAAGTTAATAGTGAACATAAATCAAGAACTTCTGAACTTCTGAACATAGTGACTGAGTTAATAGTGTTTGTTTGGAAAATATTGTAGGTCATCTGTTATATCAAAAATGACTATGAATCTGAAAATGTCACAAGTAATATTTGCTTCTGCATTGGTGTAAATGAAATTTTTATTGGTTTAACATTCAAACATAATCCCAGCATTCGGCGATTGTTCATTGACAGTTCATTAAGGACTTTGAAAGCAGTGTTTCTTCACAATGGGAATAAGCATTCATTTCACTGCCCTTGCTCATTATGTAAATATGATAGAAAGCTATGATAATGTCTTGATAAAATAAATTTCAAAGAATGCCCAATGTACATTTAATGCTGTAGTCAGTTGCTATAATTAAGAAAAATAGATTCGAAAGTTACAAAAGTATCTTTTTGTAACTTTCAAATCTGGAGTCTTTTTTTGAGACTCTGCAACCCTGATTTTAAAATTATTTTAAATTTTTTTTATGTAGGATTTTAAAATTATTTTTATACTATTTTTTAATTTTTTTTTAATTGTATTTTTTATTAAATTGTTTTTATACAGGTGCTTTAAAAGAGCTTGATGAAAAATTCAGAGAAAAGAATAATTTGGAAAGTGGGTCGAAGAAAAATAAAAACAAAACTAGTGAAAAATCATTTGAAGGTATTTTTATTTACAGCATTAAACAAAGTTCTTTATTTTCATTGTAATTTACATTTTAAAATTAAACAATTAATTTCATGTTGCATTATCATTTTTATTCAAAAATAACTATTGTTATTTAAACATCAAAATGTTTATCAAGTGGTTGTTCTTAATCCAGGCTAAACATTAAAATAAGCAGGGAGATAAAAAAAAAAAAAAATAAGTTTATCAAAATATTTTATTTTGAATATCGTTATAAATTTTTTGAAAAATTTTTTCAAAATAAATCAAATTTAATTAAAATAAAATAAATCAGTTTGATAAACTTTACTAAAAGTATTATTTTTGTAAAGTTTTTCAAACTGGTTTATTTTTAAATTTTTAATATTAGGGATGAGGGCAAGGAGTTTTCAGAATTTTAAGACAAATTTTTAAAAGAATTTTTTGAAAATATAATGCAAAGCATTATGAATTACACATACAATTATATATATATATATATATATATATATATATATATATATATATATATATATATATATATATATATATATATATGTATGTATGTATGTATGTATGTATGTATGTATGTATGTATGTATGTATGTATGTATGTATGTATGTATGTATGTATGTATGTATGTATGTATGTATGTATGTATGTATGTATATTTATATGTATGTATGTATGTATGTGTTTATATATATATATATATATATATATATATATATATATATATATATATATATATATATATATATATGTATGTACATACATACATACATACATACACACACACACATACAAAGTTACAAAATACTGTGTAGTGGGATCTTTACATTGCTAAAAGACATACTTGATGGCAACCAAAGGAAAACATAATATTAGCTAATAAAATTATTCTCGTGCCTGCATTTTGAAATCAACTCATTTCATCTATTTAACAAGTTTTCATCTTTATATGTTAAAATAAGGAATTTATTGTATAAGCAAAGATTTTTTAATGAGGAGTTACAAGGATTGCAACGTTTTGCAACATTTGCAACAATTTTTAAGAAAGAATTTTTAACAAGGATTTATAAGGGTTACAACATTTCACAATTTTCGACTTAATTGAGAGTGTAAACATTTGATCTTTTATGTCCCAAATTTCTTTAGACAACTCAGTATCATTTTTATATTTATTAATATTAAAAGATTTTAGGTGATTAGCATACCGAGATGTAATTGGAATTTCACATAAGCCAAAATATACTTTTTCTTTGTAGTCAGGTTTATTTGACGACACGGTGGCTTGATAAACGATGTTCTTCATCAAAAAAAAGGTGGAGGTTTATTTGATGTAACCATGGGAGCTTTTGATGGCGCAGAAATTTGTGAGTTAGTTGGAATAATTATCTCGTTTCAATTATCCCAATCTTACAATAAAGATGAATTCCGATTGTATAAAGATGATGGTCTAGCAGTATTTAAGAACCGGAGTGGTCAACAGATGAAAAAAGTTAAAAAGCACTTTGTGGAAATTTTAGAAAATAATAATCTTCAATACTATAGCCTTTGCTGAAAAATATTTAGTTATAAAACAAGATGAAAAAAAGTTAATACATCATGCCAGGTGAAGCCTGGATTAAAAAAAATGAAGGTTTGTTTGATGTCAACATGGAAGCCTTTGAAAAAAAGTCATTATTAACTGGTACAACTGTTATTACAGAGGCTTTTTTGGTTTAATAAGTTAATTTAATAAATTTAGAAAAAGAAATAATAGGAAACCAGCATAAGAGCACATTTTTATTATCTGTAAGCAATTTCTATATCACAAACTAAACCTTATAACATAGATTGAAGGGGTGATACAATAACAACATAGAATAAAGGGTAATACGAGTAAGGAGTGATACAATAAAATGCATGCCATAATAGGTTGTGTATCTGATCTTAACTTTATCCAAACTATTTTGACAAGAATGTTGAAAAAATGGCAAAAATAGCACATAATGATCTAAAGAGTATGTTATAGAAAACCGTTACCATGCATAATTTTGGAATGTGTGGGTTAACAAAACAATAAGTGAGATTTGCAACCAATGGTACATCCTTTGCAAATCATGAATGATATTAGTTGAGATTTATCCTAAAAGTGTCCAAACATGTTATTAAGTTAAAGGCCACATTAACTCCTAACAATAATACCTATTTTTAAATGTTACCTTTTAATATTTATCATTGTACATTTGTTATCTGCTTTTGGTGTTTGAATAAATTAAATTGTATCTGCGGGTATTTATTAAATTATATCTAATAGTGATTATTAAGTTGTATTTCCAAATTTTGTTGTAATTAGTTCAAAATGAGTTTTAATTTGATATCTACAACTGTTCATATGGTTATCAATAAAAACTAACAACTTTTTCATAAAACTATTTATTTTTAAATATAATAAAGCAATTCTATATACTTTATATACTTTTTTGAATTTTTTTATACTCCTATATATACTTTTGAATATATTTATAGCGAAATGTAAAAATTATGTTAACAAGATATATATGGTTTATATACATTTGTATTTAATATATCCATTTTTATAACAGATTTTCCAAGAGAAGTTTACATGAAGCAAGCATTTGTGTTACTATTGTTTTTGGAAAATCTAGAAAAATTAATGTATAATGCTTATGAAGGGACAGCCATATCTTTACCACCATGTATCAGAGTAAGTTAATTAAGAATTATTTTCTAATTTTTTTATTAAATTTTTTTATTAAAGCCAATATGGTTCTTAAATTATTTAAACTCCTTTGTTTTTCAAGAAAGAAAATCTGCTTCTATGTTGAGTATTAATATTTGCAAACATTACCATTTTACACATAACTGGCCAAGAATTTTTTTTAAACAGTTTTTTTTTTTACTTTTAAGTATTTATAGTTTTAGTATTAAGAACATAGTTAATATGTAATGTTTCTCACACCTGACTAGAACTGCACCCTTTCTAAAATTGGATCTTCAAATATAGTTTGTGTGTAACATGTCACACAGAAAATTAAATGAGTAGGTTGTAACTAATACCATATTTGGACAATTTTGAGAAATTATTGTTTTTTTGATAAATATTCAGTTAAACAAATTTTTTAGATGACAGCTAAAAAAGTAATTATTAAATTATCCTAGTTTTCTTAGTTTAGGGGTCTGGTTTCTATGTATAAAAAAAGTATTTATTAGCTCGAATTCAGATTTTAAATAATGTTGATAAAATTATTAAAGGATTTTAAAGGTTTAATATGGCAACATATATATAGATTAGACTATGTAAAAATTGTAAGATAAAAAGTAAAAACAATAATATATGTCAATAACTTCATAACTAATTATGTATATTATAAGATCTGCTTGTGTGTTCATTTGAACTGCAATCTTGGTATAACTTTGGATGGAATCCAAAAGATGGGATAGAATAATTTGGTTCAAGATGCCAGGATCAGATTTCTCTAAAAGACATCTCATTTTCTCTGTAAGCTGTTCTTTTACGATTGTACAAAAAGTGATAAAAGTATAAATGGTTTTCATTCACATATGAAAAAATAGTGGAATTATAAAAAACAAAGCAAAAATAGCAAATATATCCATTCAAAACAATAATTTCAAAGATAAAAAATAGAAATTTATTTGAGAAACAAACAAAAAATTTTCTTAAGATAAAATAAAAAAATAAACGTAAAAAAAACTACAAAAAAAAATTATATATTTAAAAAACTTATAATTTTACAATTTAATTTGAAACATTCTTTCATTATTATATATCTTTTAGTAAATGGTATGAAGATTATCAAGCTTCATTTTAGCTTTTTGAATACAATCAACATTCAGAACATTTCTTAAATTCTGCTATGTAGGAACTTTCATAATCAGTCATAGGAGAAAGAATTCCACCTGAAAAAGACACAAAATTATTATTGAATACACTTAATACACATTAATTTGTTATGTACTATATTTATTTATTTGGAAACTCAAATAAATAAATAAAAAAGATAAACAACCTTACTTTGTGAGGTTGTTTATCTTTTGTGAAAGTTTCACGATTTATTGTTGCAAGTTTGGATTAACAACTCTTTTTAAATAAGGCTAAAAATAAATGATCACAATAAGATATACTTTTGTTTTTATTTGAAAACTGAATCTTTAGATTTTAGTAAATGATTATATGTAGTCAGTTTCAGTAATAAAACTACCCAATAATCATTTTAAATTAAAGACCCCAACGTGAAAGTAAACCAAGTCATCTAATCTATCAACACAAAACAACACAACAATAACATTACAAAATTAACAAATAACATAACATATTACAGTAAACTTTAAGTTACTCAACTTTAGAAAGGACCAAGAAAATAGCTTATTAGAGAATGCTAGAGTTATTGGCAGTGTAATCCATAAATAAAGGCTCAAATAAAAATTTTAAATTAGTTTAAGTTAAGGGTTATTGAGTTATCCAGAGTTATTGTTCATATTTTAACTACTAACAGCACACACACAGAAACACTAACAAAATATAAACCCATATAGCTTTATATAACACATAATAAAAACACACTTTACCACACCATATGACACATAAAAATACTTGTCAAAAACTATAAATTAAGAACATTTACAAATATGGAATTTGTGAAATTTCCATTTAATGACATACCTTGTTTATGCATGTAAATATGCAAATGTTATGAGGTGTTATGCAAATGACTTGTTATGCATATGTAATGTTAATGACTTGGTTTTAGAACATGCTACATAGAATTGGTTGTATTAAAACTAAAGCTTTTTGAGATTAATAGTAACTTTATCAAATGTTTGACCCTGACTTTTTTTTATTGTCATTGATTGATTATCTTATTTAAATAATTTATATAAATATTTATTATTTTCTTATTTGAATATATATATATATATATATATATATATATATATATATATATATATATATATATATATATATATATATATATATATATATATATATATATATATAATTGTATATAATTACTTAGAAGGAAGATACTACATATAAAAAATCTAATATTAAAAAAATAATAGTAACAAAAACAATTAATCAATGTATTGAGTCAAGTATTAGTGAGTACAACATCTTCTTTGTTGTAGCAGAAGAAGCTGCAGCTACATAAAAATTAAAATTACAGTTAAAGCAATCAATCAATGCAAAAAGTCAAGTATAAGTATATATAACTATTAAATATAAATTATAGGTAAAACAATAAAATTATTGTACTCACTTAAACTTGACTTGTTACATTGATTGATTGAATTAAAAGAAATATTTGAACGACGTTAAGATGCTTATTACATATTTCAGGAAAAACGCATTTTAAAAATAATTATTAGAGGAACCTCTTTGTAAAACATTTTTTGAAACTAAAAATTAAATTTTTTCATAATTCTTTGAAAATATTTACTCAATAACGTTTGTAGGCATCTAAATTAGCTTATTTTGTATAAAAGTCAAATTTGATTTTTTTACCTTGAGGCTTTTTAAAAAATGGCTACAGTATTAAAAATAGTATTGTACAATAAAAGCAATCAATTAATGTACTAAATCAAGTTTGAGTACAACAACACTTGTTGAGCCAGAAGAAGCAACTAGAGCTATATATAAAAAGAAAATGCAATAATAATACTACACTGTTGCTGTAAACTCACAAGCCAACTCACAACACTTTAAAGCCATGGAAACAACATAACCACTTACACATAACACATATTGAAGCACATTTTATATTACAGGTATTTACACATTTATGACACAGAATTTATGATTGTATCAAATTATCTAATATAAAATTTAAGACCTTATAACTGATTCAAGAAATATTACAGATTATAATAGAGATAGTAAAGATTTGAGAATACCTTATCATGTGGTCAAAAATATAAAGTGATATATATGGTCAAGTGTAACAAATCTTTATTAACTCAGAGTCGAACACGCACGAATGAGTAAGCAGTATTAAATTAAACATTAATTATATAGGACTAATAAGTTTGTATTTAGGACTAAAAGTTTGTCTAACAGCAAACCTATAACTATAATACTGGAACAAAGTAACAGGATGTTCCAGTTAATTGTGCCATCATCATTTTTCTTTTCTACTTCTGCCATGTTTTTAAATGTAGAAGCAAATGTGTTTTCTTGATTATTTAAAGTTTGTAAGAGATGCATTGGCTCCATTCTCAATGACACTGCTACATTAGGATCATATATTTAACTGACAATATGTGGGTAGAAAACCTTCTTCAGGCCTTAAATTTCCAACACGATGCAAAATTTGCCCATAAACCCTTAAACAGAAAGAGCAATTATTTGAGGGATGAGGTATTTTGGTTGTGAAGGAGTAAAAGATAAAAAGGAATTATAACCTTTCCTGATATCTTTTATTTTTATGACAGTATATTTCAGCTCACCTAGGCTCATCTCTTTTATTTCAACGAAAATTTACCTCAGCTAGATTATGCTTTAACTAAAGTTATAAATAAATTGATATAATCTTTATAACTTAGTAATGTTATATATTTAATGTAGTTATTAATAATTATTGACAAAATATTATTAGTATTTGATCAAAAAAACAATAAAAAGTAATTAATAAAAGTTACAAAATTTTTACAGATAAGAACTCATAAATAAAGCAAATTGAAAAAATTATAAGGGCTGTCTGCTCTGCAAATACTGATAGCATTAAATGGCGAAGTGTAATCATTCGTTAAATGGCGAAGTGTAATCCTTCGTTAAAGTATCTCTTTTATTACTCTGAAACGCATTTAATGCAAGATTTGCAATTAATAACAAAACTATTAATAGAAAACCTCTATAAACAATCATATATTTGCTTCAAGTGAAGAAACTTGAAAATGTTGAAACTTTTTGAACTGTTTTAATTTTTTTTTTATATTTAATATTCTAATAAAAAAAGGTAAATATACAAAACATCAAAATATTATTATGGAGAAAATATTCTCTATACAAAAAATCCTAGAAATTTAATGAAAGTTACTAAAACATATGTAACACTTTGTACACATACCTTTATAAAAAAACAAACAATAATTTTAAGTTAAATATATTTAATAAAGGAAATAAAGACTCTATTAAATATTTAAATGGGGAGGAGCTTTTTATAAAAAGAAAGTTTTTTAACAAAATTTATCATTAAAGGCATAAGTTGTTAACAAAAAAGAACAGAGTATATCTTTTTAACAAATTTACTCAAAAAGTAACAGTATAAAAAATATTTAATGAAGTATAAATCTGTTAACGACAAATTTTTTTTGTATATGAAGTTATTAAATGAAATGTAAAAAAAAAAAAAAAAAGCATAAAAAAATATATATAATAAAAACTTTTATTTATCATCTTGCGAGCGCAAGAATTTACATACAACTTTTGATTGCAGTAAAAGAAAAATTTACTTGAATTTCTATTTAATAATAAAAAACGAATAAATAATAAAAAAAAAATTAAAGTGCTGCAACAATTGTTTTTTAATAAATGATATATACAGCAATATAATTATAATAAATGGTGTTTAAAAAAAGTTCTTTCACAACAAAATCGCTAATAAAGTAACAAACTTTTAATAAATAAAATAAATTAATGTAATTTTTTTAAACTTTTTAATATCTATTTTTTCAAATCATTTTAGTTGCAAAAATCATTTAAAAAAAACATTTAGTTGCAAGTTGTAAATAAAAATCTATTACATAATAATTTAACATATTTTAATTTATTTACAAAAATGTTGAGAAAAAAAAGAAACTTTTTTATGTCACATTTTTTTAAATGCTATATTAAATTTAATTAATTATTTAAAAAAAAAAACATTCCCTAATAGTAATTATAAAAAACAAGTTAAATAATTTAAATAAAATTTAATTAAAAAACAAATAAAAAGATGTTAAATAATATTTAACTCATTTTGCAGTAATTAATAATATTAAGTTAAAAAATTCATCTTTCTTCAATTTTAAAAAGCAAATGTCGTTAAAAAAATAATAATAAAGAGAATTTTATGACGTCAGGCTACTGAGTTGAGCATTTTTTTTATTTAAAACAAGGCTATATATATATATATATATATATATAATATATATATATATATATATATATATATATATATATATATATATATATATATATATATATATATATATATATATATATATATATATATATATATATATATATATATATATATATATATATATATATATATATATATATATATATATATATATATATATATATATATATATATATATATATATATATATATATATATATATACACACCTAGCAATGGTCACTCTACTGTCAAATAATTTGTTCATTTGAAAAATTATTAAATTTATATTTTTAAACCTTTAAACTTTGAAGTATGTTTTTTAATACCTTTACAATAATATATCTTAATCAAATACATTTTATGGAAAATTAAAAAATGTCTTTCCATCATTTATATATTTTAAACTTGTATTTTAGGCAGTGAGAACATTTTTTCGAACTAATAGAAGCACTTGTTGTGAGTGGTTAAGTCGCATACAAGAGAGTGTCACTGTTTTAGCTAACATGAGTGGAAATCCTGAAAAAGCTGTTAGAAATGGATATCTTTGGCTTCAAAGTTTGAAAAACTCAGGCAATACACAAGTATGTTTTTCAGGACTTAAGCTTTTATATATTTTTTAAAATTAGTTTTTACTCATATTTTTTGGATTTGTGCATAAAGTTATATTTTATATGTTTGCTTAAAAAGGTTTAATTAGTGTTTTAATTAAATTTTCTAAAATAGCTGTTCTAAAATATTTATTTTAGGGGTCTGACTTTGAACATGCAATTGTTACTGTGGTTGATTCTCTTATGCAATTGCATTGTTATGAAAGTATTTATGGTGTTCTAGAATGGTCAAGAAAAGTAGTTGGAAGATATTTTTTTTGGCTTTATGGTGCTACTACTAAAGCAAAAGGAAGGTAATATGTTTCCATTAACTAAGGTAAAATGTTTTCATTAAGGAAGGTTGTATGTTTCCATTAAAATTATTTTCGTATTGAGTTTATTTTTAATTTATATGTTAAAATATGAAATTTAGCTTGGAGAGTGCAGCCGAGCAGTTCAAATCAGCCTTGGCACATTACTTGTTGCCTGACCGTTTAAAAGAAGAAAATATAAATGAAACTAAGAAAACTACTGTAACTGTGCTTACCAAAGATCCTGCTATAAATGCTGACCCATTAAGCACTCAGTTCCTTGTTTCTCAAGTAAATGGTTTTTAAAAGATTAAGAAATAATTTATAAAAACTTCAAATTGTTTTTTTTTTTTGTTCTTATTTTATAGACTGCTGATTGTTACTTGCAACTTTGTGATTGGACTGAAGTACAAAAATGGAACCAACATGTAATGGAGCTGAAGCGCAAATATCCCTCATTGCATGGCTTACATACTACTATTGATTTGAGCTATGTTAAGTAAGTCTTTAAAAATTGTTTGTAACATATTGTTATAAATAATTTTAATAACAATTTTAATAAAAAGTCTACAGATTCAAAACTTGAAGTCACATGTTGAAGTCACATGTTATAGTCACATGTTGAAGTCACATGTTGATTGCATTATTTTATTTGTTTATTCTTTTTAATCTTTGATTATAAGAGCTATGATGAAGTTTGAAGACCATGATTTTGCTGGAGTTCATGAACAGCTAGAAATGATACCAGGTGCTACTATGTCAAATATGCTGCAAGAACAATTCCCTGTTCTTGGAACAGTAAAAGAAGAAAAAGGTTATCAATCTAATTCAAAAAATGATGATGATACAAATAATTTATTTATGATGGCTGATGGAATGTCACCTCAAGCCATGTTGTGCCAAAGTAGAATTTTCTTAATGCAAGCACTAACTCTATATTGGACTTCTGGTTTAAATACTTTAAAAGGAAGTCGTGTTGGCAGCCTACACAGTTCAGCCTGGTAAAATATTATTTTGGTAGATTATTTTAAGTTGTATAGACTAATTAGTATGTGTTACCACCACTTGTTTTGTTAAGGTTTCGGTTTTGTAATTAAAGGGTTGAGAGAAAGTTATAACAGAAAAAAAACATAATGTAAAAAGAAAATAAGATAAAATTTATTTATTTGTGTTTATGACCAAATAATGGAAAATTATTAATGGCTAAAGAGATTTATATTTTTGTTAGGGAGACTGTTGATAATTTACTTTATCAAGCTAACAAGTCTGCTACTATCCCACTTCAAACTTTCATGCTAAATAATTCATTGAACAATAGTGCTTCATTTCTTATGCAGTTAAAGTCAATAGCAGCTATACGTGAAGCTCTTATGAGTACTGAAGCAGAGCAGGTTAAAATTAAATTTGGTTTTTAGATATAACTTTTGAATTTTTTTTTTTTTTTTTACAAGTATATAATTGTGATTAAAAAAATACTAAAAATAATAATCATTTAGGATTCTAATGTAACTTTTATGAATGTTTATGGTCAAACACCATATATTGATGCCCATAAAACAGATATTTGCTTGTTAAATGAAGCATTACGTACTGCATCATATTTACAATTTCACCACACTTTGCATAAGAAGGGTTGGGTTGGTCCTGCAGTCAGTGCACAAGACAAGCTACCTAATGTTCAAACTATCCAGACAATGACAGCTAAATTAGCAAGAATACAAGGAAATAAAAAGCTTGCAGAATCTTTATTAGCAAAGCAGTTAAGTATGCTAGAATCTAAAGGAGCGATTGACGGAAAGATGTACCTGACTGGAGGTGCCCAATTAAAGTTGAAGCAGCTTTCAGCATCAGTTAATTCTGGAAAAGTTATTGATCATCTTGCTACAGTTGATATTTTAAAAGAATCTGCCAAGTTAAAACGAACTCTTGGAAATTATTCTGAAGCAATTGATGTTTTGTGTTCAAGCATTCTTCTATCTGAACGTCAGCTTCTTGGATCAAATAGCAAATCAACTAACATTCACGGTAAATTATCTGAGATATCTTCAAGATCATTTGTAACTTTGGCAAAATGGATTCTTACAGAACCACGTTTTCTTACTTCAGTTGGAGAAGCTGATGATGCAGTAGTTATTGGCCCTAAAGTTAGAGAAGTCTTAAAAATAGTTACAAAATCTGGAGGTATTGGAACTAAGTTGCTTCAGAATTCATTTGCTAACAATCTATCAATGTCTGAAGGTGATGTTGCATGTGGACAGTTGTTATATCACAGTACATATCGTTGTAGTACACTTGGTAAAACGTGGTTTGCTTATGCTGACTGGTGTTATAAATGGGGAAGAAAAGCTGTCGAAAAAGAGAGGTATTTTTTAAGCTATATCATGTATTTTCAAAAATTTTTAAAAATTTTTGAAGAGCTTTAATAAAGTCAACTTTATTTATTTGTATACATTATAACATGATTGCTTGGAAATTTATTGTGTATATATTATATATAAGCATTTATATACAAAAAGTTTTAAATGTTCAATGTTCTTAAAAGAACAGAGCAATAATAAATTAGTAGAAAATCACTTATCAAATTTTTTATATGTAAGCATATGTATATATTAATGATTTTTTTTGTTTTAAATATCAGCATGTTTGGAAGCATTGATCTTCTTGAAGAAGAAAAAGAAGGAGTTGTTAAGATTCTTCCACAAGGTATACCTCCTGATGTTGTAGAAAAAATAATTGGTATTCTTAGTAAAGCGCATTGTGCCAAAGAGTATATATCTGAAGAAGATGATATGTCTTCTAATGTTTTAAGTTATGAGGTATGTTTTTATATTATTTTGTTTTCTTTTTTATTATTATTATCTTGTGTATATAAAGAATTGAGAAAAGATTATAACAAAAAATAATGACTTCAGCTTATTTAAAATTTTACTCATTTAAAGTTGCCTCTTTGACAATAGTGACCCAGTAAAAAAAAACTCATCACTCGGAATAGTAAACTCTAATAGTATTAAAAATAAGTATTTTATAAAAAATAAAAGTTAATATCTATTAAAAAATCATATTTTCTTAAATTTTAATATTTATGAGTATGAATATAAGTTTTTTATTTTTTAAAATTAGGATTCATCATCTAGTGATGAAGAAAAACTAAATCAACAATTACTTAACGTAGCTGAAGATTATTTAAAAAATCGAGATGATACATTGAAATCTCTGTTAGGAATTTGGAAAAATATCATTGATAGAGTATTCACACATTATCGCCAAGCTGCATCAGCATACTTTACTTACTTGAAGCTATCTGGGACTGAGGTTTTTTTATTTAAATCTTGTCTATTTGAATAAATTTTGTTTGAATAAGTCCTTATCTCCTAGAATATAAATCCTTATCTACTTGAATATAAATCCTCATCTCCTAAAGTATAAATCCTTATCTTCTTGAATATAGGTTTGCAATCCTGTATTTTTTTACAAGCACATTAATAGTTTAATCTTTTGCTTTTGATTTGAAACAAAATGTCTCTGTAATATTGATATTGGCATTCGCTAGTTTTATTGAGAGTTGTTTTAAAAAATATTAAAATTTTTTTTAAAGTCAATTACTGGGACTGAGCCACACAAACACTGTGAATATGGAAACATTACAGCAACATTGAGGTTGCTTCGTTTGCTTGTAAAGTATTCTGGAGAATTAAAACAACACTTAGAAACTTCATTTGAACAAACTCCTACAAAACCTTGGAAAGGTATTATGGCTGAAAAAAAAAATTAAAATATATTTTTACTTTAAAATATGATTGCATTTATTTTTATACATATTTATTTAGGAATAATTCCTCAACTATTTGCGCGTCTCAACCATCCTGAACCATATGTGCAAAAGTGTGTTGCAAATTTGCTGTGTCGTTTAGCTAAAGATTCACCTCAGTCAATAGTTTATCAAACTGTTGTTGGATGTTCAGATATTATGCCACAGCAACAAATTAGTAAAACTTCTGCTGCTGGTGAACTTAATAAATCTTTACATATTATAAATTGATGTTTATTTAAAATACATGCTAATGCATGCTAGTATTACAACATAGCTAATATTAGAACATCAGTATTTAAGTTATTATAATATTCTAATTGTACATAATTATCTATTAGTGTGTGTGTGTGTGTGTATATATATATATATATATATATATATATATATATATATATATATATATATATATATATATATATATATATATATATATATATATACAATCTGCCAAATTCAGGTCAGCATTTGGCAATGCTTTGTTTTAGGATGGCATACATGAATATCCTAAAGTATCGGCATGCAAATTGAAATACATGTAAAAAATATATAATATTCGTTAAATATTAGTTTAAAATTTATTTATTGTAATTACATGCTTTTCAAATTTGACATGCTTTTCAAATTTGACAAAAATTCGTTCATTTTTTTAAATTTATTTTCTCTTTTTTTCTCAAATTTATTCAAACATAGCAAGGTTCATTTAAAATATTATTTTTTAAATGCCTGTTGTTCTCACACTTTTTTAATCGCAATTTAAGCTCAATTATTATTTTATTAAGTTTTAAAATCTAGTTTTATTTTATTTGTTAAAACCGTTCTTTTACATCTTTACGGTTTTTTTAATATTATTTAAGATCAGAAAGTCTATAAAGAAAAGTTTAGTCTTCTATAATTTCTAATAAAGGGTTAGAAAACATTTTCTATTTAAAATGCGCAAGAAGTTTTGATGAAATGTTTCATGATCATGCTAAAGTATTATTTTTGAACCAATACCCAAATCGCAAACTAAGAAATAATCCGTGGCGGATACAGAGCCATGCTAATGTAAAGAAATCAAAAATACGAAAAAATAAAAAGACTTCACTAATGACTGCTTTGCAAACCCTTGTTTCTTCTGACAGTGAATCTTCTGATCAAGAAAATTTTATTTCTAACATTAACTTAAGCAATATTTCTGATAATGATTGGACAGAAAATTTTGATGATGAGTAAATTATGAAAATATGTCAATTAGACAATCGCCATTGCGCGGAAACAATGTTTATATATAAAAAAACCCAACTATTTTTAGTATTTTTAACTTTTGTTTTCGCTCCATCAATTTACATATAATTACAAGTTCATATTATACTACAATAAAATATTGAAAAACACCACTCCTACTACTCTAGGAAAATTAAATGCTTATTTCTTGTAGAGGTTAAAACAACCGGATTTAAACTGCCTACTCGTTAAAAAATTTGCCGTTTTAAACAAAATCTTAATAGCACATAAACTAAATTTGTATTTCTAAACAACGTTCTTTCTATGAGCAATCTAAAAAAATTAAAATGTAATAAATAAATCAAGACTTTTTTTTTTTTGTTAAAAAAAACAACTTCAAAATAAAAAAATCAGTAATTTATAAATTTGCTATATACTTAATTTACTACACAAATTTTAATTGTTACATTCTTTAAAATATTATTGTCTGAAGCTATGCTATTGTAAAGCAATCCTTATATCATAAATTAATCATTACCCCTATTGTAATAGAAAGCAAAAAATCAATTTTTTTGCTGATCAGACATTAACTAAGGTTGGCACAAGCGTGATGATCTGAAATCCTTCAAATTTGGCAGACTGTATATATATATATATATATATATATATATATATATATGTATATATATATATATATATATATATATATATATATATATATATATATATATATATATATATATATATATATATATATATATATATATATATATACACACACACACACACACATATACACTATATGTTATAGTATTTATTTCTATTTAGGAATCCTTCGAGCCTACCATTATCAAGGTGATGATGAATGTGAGCAACCTGTTGAAGAAGATATTTCTTGCATTGAATTGCCAGTTGAAGCTCCTGCACCATCACAAGAAGACGTAGCTTTTATCTCTATAGAAGAGCGTGTTATGCAGTCATCTTTGCATACAATACTTGATGCTTTAAATGAAGATGATTGCAATCTTGTACAAGAAGTCAAGTGTGTAGTTTCAGAGTTACGAAGAATCACACTTTTGTGGGATGAGCTTTGGCTGGGATCTCTCACTCAATTACATCAAGAAGCGCAAAGGTTTGAAAGAATTGTTACTATAGTTATTGTCACTATCATCATGATTATTATTATTATATTCATCATTAATGATCATAATTACTAATGATCACAATCGCTATCTTCATTAACATCATCCTTATAATAATAATCATCATAATGATTTTTGTATTTATAATGGTGGTAAATAATAATTGTGGTTATTTATAGGAGGATGTCTCAACTTGATACCGAAATTAAGCGTGTGAATGTGAATCAAACTTTGACTCATAGCCAGAAGCAAATCTTAATAAAAGAAAAGCACACTGCCCTTATGAGACCAGTTAGTATTTTCATTTAATTATTATTTAAAGGAATCACTGAATGTATCAGCCCTCGGAATTAGGAAAAATAAGATTTGCAAAAAATTGCCAACCTAAAACTGTTTTACGTCGGCACAAAATTTAGAAACAGGGTTTGACAAATCAACAAACTACAAACATTTAGCCTTAAATATAGAGAAAAACAAATGCTGTGTTTACTGATTTTTCTTTCAAAGGGCGGCTTTTTCTTAAAAGTTTGAAAAACTAACATTTTAGCATTTTATAAGGAATTTAAATGAAGTTACATAGTTTTGCAGATTTTTTTTTAATTATTATATTTAGAATTCAAATAAAACATTTTTTTCATTATAATTTTAACTAGTTTATTAATAATTTAAATAAAATGAGTTTTGTCATTGTTTTTTTTTCTGTTTTTTTTTTTTTAAATAATTTTTTTAAGAATAGAAATAATTTTTTTTCATTTAGATTTTTTATTTTAATTATTTTATTTAGAATTTTAATAGAAGCTTTCGCTTTGCTGTTTTTTTAAAAATAATTTTATTCAGATTCTCAATAAAACGTTTGTTTTTAATTTAATTATTTCATTTCGAATTTTAATAAATCATTTTTTGTCATTTTTAGTTCATTTGAAATAGAAAATAAAATTAAGTTTTAAAATTCTGAGGTCAGCTAAAATTTGCAGACCTAAAACCATTTTAAGTTGGCATCAGGTTGTCATAAAACTTTGAAATAGGGTTAGACAAATGTGCAAATGTTAAATGTAAAATTGATAGAAAAATCAGATACTCTCAGGTTTAAATTGTCGAATGCGGACCCTAATTCCAAGTGCTATATGTGTGTGTGTGTGTGTGTGTGTGTGTGTGTGTGTGTGTGTGTGTGTGTGTACTGACATTTTTTTAATGACAATGAGTTAAAATTATTTATCTTAAAATAATTTTCAAATTTTCATTTAAAGTTGATTTATGCTCTTGAAAGACTTCAAAAAATTACATCTCAAGTGCCTGAAACTGCTCATGAAAGGATGTTTCAAGCTAACTTTGCATCACAAATTGATAAGGCTATAGATGCTGTTAAAAATCCAATAGATCCTTCTAAACCAGAACTTAACTGGGAAAATGTAAAGCAGGTTAAAAAAATTTTTATTCTTTAAAAATGCGGAAAGTTTAAAATGCTGAAAATTTTTTTTTTGATTATTTTTTTCTTTACTTAAATTTTGATTATTTTTTAAACTTTAACAATATTTAATTTTTTTAACTTTGACAATATTTAACAAACACTTGATTTTGCAGTTATATTTTTTTTTTTTTTTTAGGTTTTTTTATTATTATTATTACTGTTTCACAGATTTTCATTATTTTTAGTTGTATCAAACATTACAAATTCGAGCTCAAAAGCACCCAATGTCAAACTTAAAAATGGAAGAACTTAGTCCAATTTTAACAAGAAATAAATTTTCTCTTGTTCCTATGCCTGGTATTGATCAAAATGTTGACCAGGTAAAACTTTTGTATTATAACAAAATAATTTTTATCTTTATTTTATACTTCCAATAGAGTTTTACTTTCCATAGTGTACAATTATTTGGTTTGTTTAAAATTGTCATTCTAATGAATTATAACTTTATAAAGGGATTCCTAAAACTATAAACATATTACTTCAACTGAAATAAAAAATACGATTAACAGAATAAAAGTTTACCAATAGTTTAGTATTAGTTCTATAAGTGAATGAGTATAATTAATTTTTTTGAGTGAATGAACTTTAAGACTTTGTCTTGAAGTTCATTCACTCAATTACTTTAAAATGTGTAAGTTATTATGTCTTAAAAGAAAGAGGAAAAAATATCTGCTAAAACATCATTGAAAACATTAACATGCAAATGAAATTAAACTTAAAAATATAGTTATTCTTTAATGATGTATTATCACCGGACTTTAAAAGAATAAATGTTTGAGAAAATGGTTGTCCTGCAAAGTTAATTTTTTTAGTGAAATATTAAACTGCTGACTTTAAAAAATTAAATATGGCAACATTATTAACTGCATTATAACTTTTTAAAGATGTCATCAAATTTCAAGAATGTCATTGTGTAAATACATAGTTTATATGAACAGTATAACAAATGTTTTTAATTGTTATAAATAATTTTAAATATATATTTTGATAAACAATTGATCAAAATCATTTAAAAAATTAAAATGATTTAAAATTTTTTTTTAAATAAATTCAATTTAAATAATTAAAAAAGATTTTTACAATTCACCAGTTTTTTTTAATTAATAAGTTTTTAATAAATGTTTTGATATCTTTTTAGTAAAAGTTTTTTTCTTTATCCTATCATTTTGTGTATAGACAAATAGTTTCTCCAATATATCTTAACTTAAGAAGTTATAGGTTCGATTTTAAAATGTTTTTTTAAAAAATAGTTGTAAATCATCTTTTATAGTTTCTTAAATTTACACTGTAGGGAGAAGTTTTTTTGGAACCTGGAAATTGTTTAAATGTTATTTTAAACTGATGTTTGTTTGAATTAGTGTATAAAATATTCTACATTGTTTTGTTCAAAAATAATTACAAACCACATAACCAGAGTTGTTAACAAGGCCAAAAGTATCAAGGCCAAGGTTACGCATTACAAGGTCAAGGCCAAGACCAAGGTCAAAAGTTACAAGGTCAAGGCCAAGATTAAGAGTTTCAAGGCCAAGGCTTACGCAAACATTTTCAAGACTAAAGACTTCAACTTTTGCCTTACTTTAAGGCCAATTATTAACACAACTGTAAATAGCAAGTGCTGTGACAATAAAACCACATTTTGTAAAAATAGACCAAGGTTATGGGCAGAATTCAACGAAATCAATAAGAAAACATGTATTTTTTTTAAGGCCAAGGCCAACAGTTTCAAGGCCAAGGCCAAGGCAAAGGCTTCAATTTTTGGCCTTATGGCAAGGTCAAGGCCAAGGAATAACAAATCTGCACATAGCTAAATTATTATCATTAAATATTATAGATTTAGTATGTACTATTCAGGCAGCAGTTTTAAATATAGAGTTATAAGATGCAGCTGTGGCGCAGTGGTTAGAGCGCTTGCTTTATAAGCAAGAGATTTGGGGTTTGAAGTGAGCTATGGACATATTTAGTGCTACCGGTAATAAAGAAGGCATGAGCTTAAGTATATTTAAATGCTCTTCTGCACTGCTAAAGTTTTAAAAAAAAAACAGTTTGAAAATATACTAAAAACATATGTTTTCAAATTACAATAAAATGAAATAGAAAATAACTAACAAATGAGCCTTTTCCATTTTGTTGAACTAAGTTATTACTTTTAAATTAAGTTTTACAACATTGCATAATTGTTTCGAAATTTCATTAGTGTTATTCATGGTATTAAAAGTTTCTTCCCTAACAATAACTAATAGTAATTAAGTATAAAAGTTTGCACCTCCTGTTAAGCATCTCTAATAGACTTATTTTGTCATTTATTTCATTAAGTCATTTTATACACAAATAAAATATATATTTATTCTAAAAATACAAGTTAGTAATAATAAAAATAAAATTTAAAAAATATAACTTAAATAATGTTTGAAAATGAAAATAGCAATTATGGAAAAGTAAAATTTTTTGATAAAAATATATTTTCTAGTTTGTAACATTAAAATAACCAAAAACATTTCCAGGGTTTTTAAGTGTATTAATATTATAATAAACACTTTTATTAGGAGATTAGACTTCAAGGTTTTCGAAATGAGATACAAATATTGCCAACGAAAACAAAACCAAAGAAACTTATTATGATTGGATCTGATGGTCAACAGTAAGACAATATATAATAATTTTTGTTATGTTTATATATATATATATATATATATATATATATATATATATATATATATATATATATATATATATATATATATATATATATATAAACATACACACACATATATGTATATATACACATATATGTATACATATATATATATATATATATATATATATATATATATATATATATATATATATATATATATATATATATATATATATATATATATATATATATATATATATATATATATATATATATATATATATTTTAAATAATATAAAAATATATTTTTTAGATATCCATACTTATTCAAAGGATTAGAAGATTTGCATTTGGATGAAAGAATCATGCAGTTTTTAGAGATTTGTAACCACATGTTTTCTAAAGAAGATAGGTATGTTTTTTTGTTTTTATAATTATTATAGAATTTTTAAATTTTTTTTATAAGTTATTATTTTTTTAATAAAAATAATTTTATGATATAAGCACTAACTAATTATCACACACTTGTGTTGGCCAAGTATTTGTCATCATTTTTACTTCATATTTTAAACAATAAATTTTCACTGATACAAATTTTTCCAGTATACTATTATTTTTAAAAATGCATAGACATCTTTTTTATTAAAATGTTTAAAAAGTTATATTATAGATATGTCTAAATATACATATATATCATGGAAGTACTGGATAAAGGCACATCATTTTTCAAAAAAAGTTTCTCATAAGTCTACTGAAAGTTATACTGGTACATGAATTAAGCGGATGTTCCGAGGCCTTTTTTTAAAGTTTGAATTAATCTATGACATCACACCAGGGCTCAATTTAATGGTCGGATATTAGACATTGTCCGGCTATAACCTCAGATTGTCCGCTCAATTTACAAAGTAATTGTACATTTTGACCGACATGAATTAATTTCTACAAAATAAAGTTTAGAAATGGCGTGCAATCGAATGCTGACCACACAAATGATTTTTTTTGTTCACCAATTCACCGCAACTCACCGCAATTCACCGCAACTGTTTAAATGTTTTAATGATTTAAATGTTTCAGAAATGCGTTGAAAAAAAAAAAGCATTAAGGTAAACTGAAACTAGAAAAAAAAAATAAAAACTATAGAATGAGCAAAACAATTCCTTACGAAAAATAAAATAAATTAGCTTTAAAATAAAACTTGAAAAATACAAAATACTTATATAATGATGTTTTTTTGTGTTTTTTATATGCATTTGTGTTTTTTATATACAAATAACTTTTTGTTATGTTTTAAATTAAAATTGAAAAAAATTACTTAAAAATTGATCTTTTAAAACGTTTAATAAAAGTTATGCAAAACACTTTTAACAAATTACTTCTATCGATTAATAAATGAACAAATTTATCTTTTATTGAAAAAAAAAATATTAATATTTTTAGTTTGTATGAACATTTTTTTCAAAAAGTTGCAAAAACAATTGTTTAAAAAAATAACGTTGTCTTTTTAATATTGTAATTTTTAATATATTCATGATTTAATTAGTTTTTTTTTTTTATTTAGTTACTAAGTCAAGTTTAAAAAAAACAACTTTTAAACAATTTTTTGTAAAAATAGAAACTAATAAAGCAATTTAGTCATGGGAAGATTTAATTTAACTTATTTATCCTAATTTAAAGTATATTAAAAAAAATAGTTTTTTAAAAGATTTTTAAAACGACATAAAAATATAGTTTCAAACAATTAAATTTATCATAAAAAATAAGTACCTAATAAAAAAAATGTAAATGTATTATTTAATTTACACATAAAGCGTTTATTTTTCAACGATCTTTATAATTAATTTTTAATTTTATTTTATTTAAAGCCTTCATGTAAAATAAAAACTTTAAAAAAGCTTAATGAATAAAAGTTATTTTTAACGTAAAAATTTTTTTACTTGCATTATAAATTGTTAAAACATCAAAACAGCCATTATCAAATTGTAAAGAAAAAAAAAAGCATTGTCAGTTACATTGTGAAATTTTAACTCTTATTTAAAAAAAATAAAATTAAAAAAAACGTAGAATATTAAATTAAAACTATTTTATTTAAAAAAAAAAATCTGCAATGAATATTTCTAAATAATAAAGAAAGATACTACAACTTCACTAAAATAACGTTAGATAAACTGAATAACATGACAAAGATTTTGATTGCATAGCTCGGTTCCATAAACCGTAAAAATTATATTTTAAAAATATGATCAGACATTGTCCGACCCAAACAAGTTTTGATTGGAAATTTTGTCCAGGACTTTATAAAAAATTAAATTGAGCCTTGTCACACTGAAATAACCTGCTGTCAGAGGCTTCAATTTTAAAATATTTTCAGTTATTTTTGTTTGTAAAACAGTTGTAAAATGTTTTTGCAAGAGTTCTATTTAAGTTTTAAGATTTTTAAACAACATTATTGATGGCTGCAAAAAAAAATTTTTGTAGGGCAAATGAGCAGAGATATTATGCACAACATTATTCTGTAACTCCACTTGGTCCACGATCAGGGCTAATTCAATGGGTAGACGGTGCTACACCTTTATTTACATTATATCGTCGTTGGCAACAAAGAGAGTCAGCTTCTCAAGCAATAATGAAAAATCAAGTATTTACTATTTGATACATATTTATTAAGATTATTATATATTGGTATTACATAAGATTATTACATACTACATAAGATTATTATATATTGGTTTAGTGGAAAAACTGTTATGTATTGGAATATTGAGTTTAAGCTTTATTTTTTAGGGGGATAAAAATGTGCAAAATGCTGTGCGTCCCACCGAGTTATTTTATAATAAAGTTATGCCATTTCTAAAGGAAAAGGTTCAAAATTGATTTAAATTTATTTTGATTTTTGTTGTTGTTAATCTATAACTACTATAACAATAAGTTTATTTATACTAAATTTTTTTTGTTTAATTACATTATAGTTTAAATTTTTATTTTTTAATTACATTATAGGGTTTAGATTCTAATTTAAATAGAAAAGAATGGCCTTTATCAGTACTTCGAAAAACATTTCAAGAGCTTTGTAATGATACACCTGATGACTTACTTAGCAGGTATTTGAATGATTTAGCTAGCTGGTATTTAATGATTTTTGATGACTCACTTAGTAGGTATTCAAATCACTTAGGTAGAAGGTATTTATTTAACAAATATTAACAGTTTTGGTCTTTTTTAAAAGGTATTTCATATACATGTATGCAGTAACCAGTATTGCACATACTAAACGAGTACAATAGCAGATATTGCACAAACATTAGGTGTACATTAACAAATGTTGCATATATAGTATATGTGAAATAGTGGGTAATGTGGGTAAGGGAGTAAAATAACAAACAGTAATTGAACAAATAGTAAGTATATAGTAACATAAGCATATACAGCATATGTGCAATAACCTGTATTACACATACTATAAGTTTACAATATAAGGTATAACTCAAACAGCATTTCTAAAACAACAGGTATTACACATACTGTAAGTCTAAAATAACAGTTATAGCTTAAATAACAATTCTAAAATAACAAGTATTATACGTAGAGTACTTCTAAAATAACAGGTATAACTCCAACAGCAATTCTTAAATAACAATTATTGCACATACAGTAATACAACGGTTATTGCACATACAACATACATGTTGCACTCTTAGTTAAAAGTTTTGAAGGTACAAATAAATTGCTTACATAGATGAGTTTTTTCTGGGAATTCCCGGAATTCCGGAAATTCACATCAAGTTTCCAGGAAATTCCGGATGCTTTTTGCTATTGATTTGTAAAAAGTTATATAAAATTTTAAATACGACATGGTTTGCATTTAAGCAATTATGTTTTCTATAAATGAAATTTTCACGAGATCAATTTTTTCAAAAATTTTTTTTCTTTTTAATTCATTCAAATTAACTTTTTCGAATATTAGAAATTGTTTTTCTTAAGAAGTTAATTGATGTAAATTCCGTTTTAAACGTTTGCAAAAGATCTTGTCATTAAAAATTACTATCAAGAAGAAAGAAAATAAAATGCAAGTTAAGAGTTTATCTGACATTTCTGAGATAGACAAAAATATTAAAAACAAGTTTCGCTGGAATTGGCTTCAAGAGAAAGACTATAATGATGAGCATTATTCACCCTATATTACAAAGATAAATAAAGCCGGAGCGGTTAGTTTATTCTCTAACTGAACACTGAAATATATAACTTCATCATAGTTATATATTATTTGGTTTGATGTTTTAGGTACGATGTACAATATGTAATAAAGACTTTTTTTTATGGATGTGAAGGTAAAAAATCTTTACTCAGCCACTCAAAGTCTAAAATGCATCGTCAAAACTGCGCATTTTAAAGAGGCTATCAAATGAAAGTAAGAAACTAATAGAAAAAATAAAATGTAAAATGCAGCAGAAAAAACTAACAAAACAAGGTGCAGAAAGAAAAGCTAGAATTGTTAAAAGTTTATTTTTCCGACATAATGAAACATTACTTTATATTAATTTGTACGTTGAAATTCTTCCTATTTTTAAATCATTCATTTTAACTTTTGAACAAAAAGAACCGTTAGTCCATCGAATTTATGATGAGCAAATTGAACTAGTGAAAACAATTTTAACTTGTTTTATTAAGCCAAAGATGATAAAAAATATAACAGGAGAAAAGTTGAAGTTTTTAAACCTGAAAGATAAAAAAATGTATCGCCATTCGAACTACATATACCTTGGAAGTAATGCTGAAAAATATTTGTCAAGAATACTTATTCGAAATCCTGATTTCAAATCATCGTTTTTAAAGACCTTGCTAAAAGCTTACCTTGAATCGTCAGTTTACTTACTTAATAAATTACCCTTTAACAACCCTTTATTAAAATGCCTCTCTGCGATCGACCCAATGTCTCAAGGTCACGAAATTACAGAGAGAATGCTAAAAAAAAATCTCAACTTTCTTTCCCTCTGTAGATATAAATAAAGTAATATTTAATCGAGAAGTTATGCAGCTTCAGATAGATATAGCGCTTCCACCCGTATTTGATGATGGGAAGCCCGTACGTCTTGACTATTGGTGGGCTAAAGTTTTTAAGTGTAAAAAATATTTAGAGCTTAGTAAGATTATCAAGGCATGCTTAAGTATTTTTAGTAGTCCTCATGTTGAGCAATCATTCAGCATAATGAACACCATAGTTAACAAAAAGACAAACCGTCTTGATACTTTAACGTACTCTGCTATAGCTTTAGTTAAGTATCAATTATTAGCAAACGAGACCACAGCAGTAGGGTACTTTAAAAGGCGTTTTAAAGTACCCTACTGCTGTGGTCATTTGCAAACTGCAAGCAAACGCTATAATAAAAAAATGAAATTCCATCGGAAAAATAGAAAAGTTGAAGAAAGATTTTTAAATATAAATTCAACGTGGAAAAAAAAAATTGCCTTACATGAACAGTGCAAAAAAGTTAAAGAATCTATTATTGATCATGTAAAAAAGTGCAGAAAAAGAAAAGCTGACGAATGCTTACTACAGAAAATTATAAGAAAAAAAAGTATTGATTCCTGACATTTATTCCATTGTCTTACATTTTATATTTTAAATATAAAGAAATGATTGCGCTTTGCAGGTTGCTTATGATAAAACTGAGATGTTATATTTCATTTTAGAGAAACATAATTAATGAGTAGTTTTTAGTTTCTTTATTTATCCCTTTACCAACGTTCCAGAATTTACCCACATATCTTCGTCAATTTATTGACCCTAAATTTTTTCCGGGATTATCCGGAAATTTCATGAAAATGACTTTCCGGGATTTTCCGGGATTTTCAAAGAAAAAAATTTCCGGGATTTTCATAAAGTCAAAAACTCATTTATGTGCTTAAGATTTAAAAATTTAGTTAAAATATTTAAATTACTTTAAGTTTTTATAATTGTTTTAAATAATTGTGGTTTGAACAATTATGTTTTGAATAAATTAAGATTTTAATAATTATGAAATAGGTAAGAAATAACTAAATTATTTCCAGATTCTCTTTAAGTTAGTTATTAGTTTAGGACTCTTTAAGTTAGTTGTTAGTTTAACCATATAAATTTTGTTTGGGTTCTACTTTAACAGACATTTTTTTTTTTTTTTAATATAACTTTTTTGAGTTATCACAGATAATGAAATAAAAAAAGAATTTGAATATTTAAATTTTTATAATCTTATCTTAAGTATATTTTTTATGAGTGTTTTAAATAGTGTTTAATGAACATATGTGTTTTTATTATATTTAAATTTTTGTGTTTTTAAAATTTCCAATATTTAATTTTTTTTTAGAGAACTTTGGTGTTCAAGTGCAAATTCAGTAGATTGGTGGAAAATGACGCAAACATATTCTCGGTCAATTGCTGTTATGTCTATGATTGGTTATGTAATTGGCTTAGGAGATCGGCATTTAGATAATATTCTCGTAGATTTGACTACTGGAGAGGTTGCTTTTTTTTTGTATTGATTTATTCAACTTTATTTAACTGACTTCAAATACTTTTATTAGTTATATGTATTATATATTCTATCAAAATCCATTATAAGTATTTTAATTGTGGTTATAACCCTTTCTCAACCCTATAGCTCCAAAACACCCACCTTGACAAACAAGGTTGCTGCCCAAAGAAACAAGTTTAGTGCGGTACTATCAGGGATGTGGTGGGGATCGAACTCGAAACCACTTGCTTATGAAGCGAGCACTTTACCACTACACCACTGCCGCATAGATAAAAAAAGAATGAATTTTACTGTACATTTTTCACAAGAACACACATGTGTTTTCAAATTGGAATTACTGTATATACACAATGCATTACTGTTGTAAAAAAATTAAACAGTTCTCACATAAATTTCTCCTGGAAAAATACTGTACTGATACTGATGAAAAAACACTGCACTGATGCTTCATTATTGTTTTAATAGTATTTAAAGTAGTAATTTTTACTTATATAAATTTTACAAATTTAAACTAGATCATAAAAAATGTGTACAACAGCTTTAGAAAAATCATTCTTTTCATACTATAATATTTTGTGGTATAAAAAAAATGATTATATAACATTTTGATAAAATATGTTATAAAAACTGGAAACTGTATGTCAAATTGGCATCCCTTAAGAAAATTCTGGCAAAAATATGTTATCTTGATTTCTTGATCTTGCAACATAATTTGTATAGCCTGTTATGTGGCTAGTGCAACAACTAATGGACTTAGCTATTATAAAAGTTACTATTCAAAAAAAAAAGGCAAAGGGAAAGTTTTATTTACCAATAAACGTAAAATTGCAATTTATAGGGTTAGCAGTTAAAAGCTTAGCTTTAACAGTTTAGCATTATTATCTATCTCAAAATATATATTTGATTAGCATTTGTGCCATTTATTTGGATTTTTGCTTAATTGTGTCTAGTTTTGTAAAACTTTTGATTATTACCTTGTTTAGGGAAGTTATTTTAAAACTAGCTCTATCTAAAAAGTTGTTACAGTATAAAAAAATGCATTAAGAAATAATTTTTTAGATTTGAGAAATTTCTTTTTAAAAAACTTTCCAGATTAACTAATGAATCTTTTCTGAATTTAGGTTATTCATATTGACTACAATGTATGTTTTGAGAAAGGTAAAGCACTTCGTGTACCAGAAAAAGTTCCTTTTCGAATGACACGAAATATGCAAGTTGCGCTTGGAGTTGTTGGCGTTGAGGTATTGCTGTAATATATTATTATCAACTTTGTAAATTTTTTTTCACATATTTGCTTTTAAAGTGTGCTTCTTCCAATCAATATAAATGAATCAAAAATGGTTTGCCTTGGTTTTACTCTAGGTAAATTAAATACTCAAACACAAGTATTCTTAAATAAAAGATAACTCCTAGAAAGAAAACCCAAGGGAATTCATTAATTGTTTTTTATAATCTTATTACAAAAAGTACTAATCAAACCACAAACTAACAAGAAGTAAGATGAATACAAAATAAGTGACATGTCTTTATGAATCGCCTAAATGAGTTATCTTCATGAAATAAAAATAACTTGATACTTTTAGGGGCTTTAAATACTTTTTGTTTAAATTGATTGTTTCTAAATCTATTGTTAAGGGAATCTTTCGAAATTCGTGTGAAAAAGTTATGCAAACTCTTCGTCAGGGTAGAGAGATACTTTTAACACTTCTTGAAGCATTTGTTTATGATCCATTAGTTGACTGGACAATAGCAAATGATGCTGCATTTGCAGGAGCTTTTTATGGTGGCGGTGGACCAGCTGATGAAACGTATAAGTATCGTAAAGAAATGGAACGTGGAATAACTCAGACTTTGTTATCTACTAGGGTTGCAGAAATGAAAGTTTCATGGTCTGCAAATAGGTAGGTCTTTTTTTTATTGAGCAGTGCACACATGTGGTATGTAATACTGTTAGATATTCTATTCAATTACTAATTCAATACTACATATTGTTTCCTTTGTTGTGTAATTTTTGTGTGTGCATTGTTTAGTTATGTACTAATAAATGAGTAATACTAAACTTTGTCTTGGTGACGGAGCGTTAACTTAAGTGCTTATTTGAGAAAAAAATTTCATAAAATTTTTCTTATAGAGATGAGCTAACTAGTTCATTAAACACTCTAAAAGGACTGCTTGAAAACTATTGTAGTGCATTAAATTCACAGTGGTATTCCTATGAAGAAGTTGTTACTCTTAAACATCAAGCGTCACTTTTAAAAGCTGCTCTAAGCATTCCAGATCATCCATTACATAGTTTGCAATCAAGGTAATTTATGTTTTTTGATTAATTTTTAAAGTTTCTTTTAAATTTGATAGTTTGTTATTATTATTATTATTATTATTATTATTATTATTATTATTATTATTAATATTATTGTTATTATTGTTATTATTATTATTATTATTATTATTATTATTATTATTATTATTATTATTATTATTATTATTATTATTATTATTATTAATATATTTTTAATAGAAGAGATGAAAAAAAATTGTTTTTTTCTCAAAACACATTTTGTTAATTAAAATGACAACCATTGTCAAAATACATTTTTTTGGTGGAAAAAAAAGAATTTTTACTAAACTTAAATGCATACCCATTGTATGCAACATTTGAATGTATGCTTATGTAATCATATTTATTTTTTTAACTTTCATAGAAAAAAATTAGTCATAATTGTCTTGTAGTTTCTTGTCCTATGGCAACCATATGAGATTTATTAGTCTTAAATTTTAGTCTATTTAACAGTCTTCAATTTTTAGATGTTTACATGATAGATGTATTAAGCTAACAAGTCAACGAGGTCTTAAAAATCTCTAATTTTCTATTGAATTGATGTCTTTCTAATCAACACTTTCACGATGACTGCAAACACTAATTTTTGTTTTGTTAGGAATTAAGAATTATATCAATTATTCTTATGAAAAATTTCCTTCTGCTTTTTGATTTTCTTGTCAATATTCTTTTATTTTTCAATATTCTGTTGTTTTAGTTAAAGGTTGTGTCCAACTCTAATATTCAACTAATAAATAAATGAATGGGCTCAACTTGTGTTGACTAATTTTATGATTGAGTTATCACCATTTGTTAAAACATTTTTCTGTAATAAAACTTGATTTACAATGGTTATCAATTTATTTGCAACAAATACAATATATGTTTTTCTTCTATGGTGAATACACCATCCATGAATTTATCAGCTTCTCACTATTATTTAAAGAAATTTGTTGTGATTAAGCCTTCTTGTTTCACCTTTGTTTATGTTATCAGGTGTTTTACTCTATTGAAATTGGTGTGTAAATTTTGAACTGCAAATGGACCTTGGTGTACCAAGAATACTTTGTTTTGTTGTCAATCTTATAAGGCAGTTTTAGTTGTTCAACATTTTTGTAAGAGATTTTCTACTTCTTTAATTTGAAAAAGTTTTTTACCCTTTGAGAGCTGCATCTTCACCAGCACTTCAAGCAACAATATTAAAAAAAGTAAAATTTGATTCACAGAAGATGTATTTGAGTAGCTTTCCTGTGTTTTAATACAGTTTTTTCTCCCTTGCCTTCCTTTCCATTATATGTTTTAATAACAAGATATGTAAATAAATATTTACTTTATTAAGAAGAAAATGCTATAGAATTAAAGACTCTTTATTTTTAAAATAAATTTTTTCAGTCTATTTTTTCAGTCTATTTTTGGAGAAATTTTTATTTATGGAGAAATATGAATACTTTTACATTCTTGATATAAAAATGAAAAAAATAATTTTCAGTAAAATAGGCAATTTTAATATATTTTAAACATTTTTTCAATTAGATAACCTTACATTGAATTGATTATGAGAAAAATAGTATTCTTCGAATATATAAATAATATAAATATTCAAAAGTAAATATTAAAAGAATATAAATATTTGAGTTAGAAAATTTACTTATCATTCAAACTTATGAAGCAAACAAGTTTTTTTTGCAACCAAAGTTAAGTATGAAAAAATGACACCCCAATTTTTATAATATATTTTATTAAATTACTTTCTGATATATAGATATGACAAACAAGCCAAGTTACTTTCTGATTTGAAGCATTGGAAAGATAAAATTACTTCAAAGCTTTCAGAGTGTGAGAAAATGCAAAATGATTTTGAAGTATGTTATAATTTTTTTAATTTTTTTTTAATATTAGAAATTGAGCATTATAAGTTTTCTAAAAAGTAAAACTAAAACATTAAATGGAGTCAAACAAAGCAAAGTTACTTAGTTTTGATTCATATTGGCAGTTTAAATGTTAAGGCTTTGTTTTAGTATTTGATATGATTGGTTTTCGTAGTATGACTTGATGTGACTGGTGGTTTTAAATTATTTAATTATATTTATAGTAAAGCACATTTAGCATTTCATATGTTATTTATAAAAAGTGTTTTACATATTAAAAATTTATTATAAAGTTTAAATTTATAAATCCTTTATAAATGATATTAAACAATGTTAAAAATAGAGTAATTAAAATTTTTTAACATTTATGCTTCTATTTTTTTATCAAGATTTTCACATATTATTTTTCACATTATCTACAACTTTTTAAGTAGTCTAAATTATTGTCTTTTTAGCATGTTTTTCTTTGCATTCACAATGGTAGCATTTCTAGTCTCTATCCAGAAGTGTGTAAAGTTGTTGATACTGGACCTCCATGCTACTTGGCTGCTGTTGACTTTTTAAACAGTGCTGGTCAATCAAATATTGTAGTTCAAGGAGAGCAGATTGAAATGGAGATAGCTTCAACCCTAAATCAGAGACGATTATCTCTACGATCCTGTTTAGACACAGTAGTGTCTTACTCATCATTTGTTAGTCAAGTATGTTTTTTATAACCTTAGAAATTTAGTTTTTAATTCATTTTAAAGTAACTTTTTATGTAACTGATCAAGTTTTTTGGTTGTCAATGTAACTGACTTTATTGTTAGTAAACCTTAAAACTCAAGCAACTGAATCAATTAATAACTTACCTTTTTATCATTTATGTAGTTTTAATTTTTTTAATTTTTAATTAATTTTCATACTTACCAATTAATAATAATATAAATTTTTTTAAAGTTTACTTTTACAAGTTTTAAGTGAAATTTTTTTTTAGTTCTCTGCTAGTTATGTAAAGCATAGTAGTTTATCAAATTGGATATATTTACTGAATTCTCTGCTTAATGAGTCTTCACTAAACAAATGCAAAGAGGTAATACAGAGTCATCAAGATTATTTCCATCGTAGAAAGTTGTTACTCAAAGAAATTGAATCATCTGTTATTGGATTAGAAAATAAGCTTCATCAGTATTTTACAGAACAAAATAACAAGATAATAAAGGTTTCATCTTTGTTTTCTTTTTGGGCTTTCTATTAATCTATTATCTATAGTATCTATTAGTAAATAAATTTGAAAAAGTTTATTTATTTTATTTTATTTTTTTTTTTTTATTTTTTTTTTTATTTTTTTTTTTTTGCTTGTGAAAAAATAAAAAAATTTAAATGCTAATAATATTATTCAGTTGTATGAACGAAGAAATCATGAACGAGCTGAAACATCTTTGCTTTCTGGACCTGTTACAGAAACATGGAATGCTTTACGCAAGTTTAATGGTGACGCTGGTACACCAGGTGCCATAAGTTTAGCATGTGTTACAGTAACAGCTCTTTCTACTTTAAATAAGAGACAACTTGTTATGGAAAATGCTGCTGCAGGTTAGATATTTTATTTAAATAATCAATATGATTTTATATACAGACTAAATTCAGAAATTAATTTTTTATACTTTAATTATTTTGTTTAAAACCTTGGATAAATTAAATTAAAACAAATGTTGAATTTTATTTAGTCTATTTAAAACCATTATTTAATAATTGTAAAGAAAGTAAATAACAATTGTCAAACAAATTAAATTTTATAATGATAATGATATAAGAGTTTATGGACTATTAAATTATCATAACAAGTATGTATATTGAATTTGATTTAAATGCTTTTAGTTGCTGGCGATCGTTTAATGCATTTGACATCTCGAGATGGTGATTGGTTTTTAGATGAGTTATGTACTATGTGTAGTAATATTAATCAATTACTGTCAGTATTAAAAAACAATCCTTTGAAACAAAGTACTTTTAAAACCAATCAAACTGATTCGATGGATGGAATATTATGTAGTATGCAGGTGGTGGGTTCTGCTGTTAAGGCATACAATAGCTTGCAGGAACTGATGTCAAATTTCCGCTCAATAATTGTTCCTGAAGCAGTAAAATCTTTTCTAAATAACGACTCTTCTGTTTTGTACGTTACAGAGACTATAAATCAAATTGTACAAATGAGTTCAGTTAGCTTACTAAGTCTGTGTGAGCAATTCCACATGTGTTTTAAAGAAAAGATTGAAGTCCCTGAAGATCTTATAAACATTGTAAATGGTTTAAAAAACCATCTTGATCAGCTGACTGAGGCTGAAAATATTGACCAAGGAGAAGGTAGTATAATAGTAGTATAATAGTAGTAACTAAGAACCAGTTAACTATTTAGAACGAGTAAATTATTTATATAACAAAAAGTTTTAAAGAAAAAAATTTATCATCACTATTGTTTCAAAACTAAAAACCTCTGATAATTACATTATAACTAGTTTAACAATTTTTTTTAAGTTTTTATTTTATTACAGAAAATTCTAGTTCAAGTCATATGTCTCCTGGACAAATGCTACTAGCATGTTTTAGTGGTTTGTTTACTAAAGTTGAAGTTGAGCTAATGGGGTTATATGAAGCATATAGAAAGGTTAAAATCCCATCAGGGTTTGACGATTTAAATCAAGACCAAAGAACTTTGCAGGTAAGATTTTTTTATCATTTATAGTTGTATGATATGTAAGAGGGAGGGGGGGGGGATTGTCTTTTTAAAATGAAAGAACAGAATAAAACAGCTCATAAAACAAGCTTAAAAATTTAATGCTGTAATTGATATTTTTAATTTTTGGATCTTTAAAATTAATCAAACAGTAGTTTGATTTGAATATGTGAACATTGAAGATAAACTTTTAATAGTTTCAATTTTAACAACAGATTTTTATAATATTTGTATTATGCTCAACATAATGTTCTTTTTATTTTGCTTTATTACTGAAGGTCAGAATAAATTACTTTGCTTACTGAAGGTCGAGATTATATTACTCTGCTTACAATCAGTTTGAGTTTAATAGAAATATTTGTTTTTTTTTGTTTTTGTTTTTTTATTTGTTTGTTTGTTTTTTTGGGGGAAGGGGTTTGCACCTTAATTCAATGGAATTTAATATTTTTTAATTTTATTTTATTTTTTCGTTTTCGGCTCATCATCTTTAAAAAATATTACTGAGTAAATTGATTTTTGAATGGTTAGCTTGTTAATCAAATCAATTAGTTAGCTAGCCAGTCAAATTAGTTAGCAAACTTGCCAATCAAATCAATAATCTAGCTACCTAATTAGATATGAAATAATCTAGCTAGCCAATTAGATATGAAATTTGAATAATAATTTTTTACTGTTCTCTATTGTTTTAAAAATCAGTTATTTATTAATTAACAAATTTCTTTTTTACAATAAAGTTTTCATGCGATACTTAGTTAATCTTACAATAAGGTCCCTTTTTCTATAATCATGTATGTTTTCATATTTCTGTGTTTTGTGTTGAGTCTTAATAATCTTTTTATAGTTCAGTAAGAACATAAGCCTTTCATCAAATTGCAAATGGGCTAGCTTCTTGTTTTTAAAAAAACTGATCACTATACAGACTTTTTTCGATGCCTGCCTTCATCAGTCAAGTGAGTTTTTAAAATTTATTCAAAATTTATAAAAACTTTTAAAATTATTAATTGCTTATTACATTTTTAATGTGCTTTTATTTTTATTGTGGTTTTTCATTATATTATATTCATAGTCTTATATCAATTGCTTTACTTTCATTATAGTTTTATTTTCATTAGCAGCCACTCGTGAAATTAATATATCAATTCACACTTTAAATTCTTCACCTGATGATGGAAGTGAATCTGGTCGTATGTTTAGAGTTTTCAATGAAGAGCTTCTTTGTTTACCAGTCAAACAGTTTATTGCTGAATGTGTTCAGTGTTTTTTAGTTGGTTTACCTTCTCAAGCTGTCAATGTTCTTTCAATTTGCTATGCCTCTCTTCTTGCCCCAAGCTTGCTTAAAGATATACAAGAGGGACGAAAGTTTGTAAGCTCAATGGAAGAACTTTGCAAAAAAGTCAGACTTTAATTTTTTAATGAAAGTTAAAACAATGTTTTATTTTATAATTAATTAAGATTTATGAAACTTCTAGGTTGTTGAGGTGAACCTGAAGTCAAACAGTTTTCCTCACCAACATTTATCACAAGCTGGTACTTTGATTAATGCTCATGATGTTGCTTGGCGAAAGCATGACCTATCAAGGTAATGTTTGACCTATCAAGGCTTTTAGTTGAGCTTTTATTACTATTATTATTTTGTAACATATGGAAAGTTTTTTAAAGTCAAAAAAATATTTTAATATAATATAAATAACAGTAAAGTTTCTATTTATAATTCAAATATTAAATAGGAAACATATTTAGTGATATAAATTCTGACATTTTTACATAAAAATACAACGAATATGGTTCAATATTTGCCATTATATCATTCATTCATTATGAACACCTCATTAACATATTTTTTTTTTGCTTGAATGTTTCTCTACTTGCATCGGTTGAATAGGTTTTACATCACTTCCTTGAATCATTGGTTTTTTCTTGATTCATTTTGTGTGAATGAGTGGCTCCATGTCACTAAATATTATTTTTATATACAGGAGACTGGATGCTTCAATTTCTGCACAGAAAGATGTTGTCCAACGAGCACAACAACAGCTGGCAAGATATCAAGTAAGTTCTTATTAACTAATTTTGATTAATAGAACTGATTGTTTTTAGATCAGTTTTTTTCTTTAATGACACGATTTAATGATTTACATGATTTAATTTGTTTTTTTAATGATATGTTGTAATAAATCATTTAGTGGCTAAATGAAGAAATTTTATTTGTAAATGGTAGAAAGCGCAATCAACCACTAGCCAATCCAACCAAAGCGTCAATCATAAATGACATAAAAAAGGTATGTTGCTGATTTTTTTGTTAAAAAGTTGTAAAAGTTAGTATACTTATAATTATAGTTGAGTTTAATAAATTTAAAATGTGATTAGATATAAAATGAGACAACTATATGAAACAAATTGCCAGACTATTTTTCATTTAGTTTGTATAGTTAACACTAGTAAGTAAATAGTATAGTTGACACTAGGTAGTACAAATAGCATAAGAAATCCTATATTAAATGACATTTGTAATATGATTTAACCTTTTAATGATCACTCTCAAATACAATACAATAAAATACAGCAGTACTGCAAAACTCCAGCGGCATTAAATTTTATACTTCTGTATAATGTTCATTATTGTTTATTTTGTTTTTAATTATTTGTTATTTAATTTTATTGATATTTATTATTTAATTTTACATTTTAAGTTATAAAGCTTGTTTTTTTAAAGACTGAAAGACAAAAATCAGAAAAAATTGTCAGTTTTATGATGATAATGTTTACAAAAATACTGATTTCTACAAACATTGATTTACAAAATGTTTACAATATGTTTACAAAAATACTGATTTCTACAAACATTGGTTTTGATAAATGCATTTATTTTTATTTCTTTATTTACACAGCAATCATGATTTCATCATTTTTATGACTTATTTGAGTTTTTTGAAATTGATTAGTCATTTTTGTTATTTTTTTGACATTAAAAAAATCTTAATTTTTGTACTGGGAATTTTTTTTAATGGATTATTTTTAATGGATAAATTCATTATTTTTAATACTTAACTGGTATGGTCACTCACCAGGATAAATTCATTATTTTAAATACTTAATGATAATTTTCTAATATAATGTAGATGTTTTAAAACACCCAAACACTTTACCGGGATTTAAACCCAATACCAACAAAGCTGGTATGAATATATTCACAGATAAAAAGATATTCTGTTTTTTCGAATTAGAAATTGGAAGTGAAAAATAATAAAAATAATAAAAATGTGCAACAATGTTCAATCTTTAGTGTGGATCAAATTTTTTAAAAAAATCAATCAAAATTTTAATTTTTTTTTTGATTTTTTCAAAATTGATGTCAAAATTGAAGGTTAAAAAATGTATTTTTTTTTTTAGGGATTACAAATTTAAAATAAATAACAAATAAAAAAAGGGATTTTTAAAAAAAATCCCTTTTTTTATTTGTTATTTATTTTCAAAAAAATGATACATTAAGGGTTTAGTTAAAGCGTTTGTAATATAATTAAATAAACTTACTAGTTGGAAATTAAAAATTAACTTGATTGTGGAAGATTTGCCATATTTCAACAGATTTTAATGTACAAATATACATAGCAGATCAAGTACTCAACCATTAAGTTTCATTACCAGCACTTTATGAAAAACTAAATTCAAGGTGTAAAATTACTTCCAAGTTGTGCTCAATAAAATAAGAAATATGTTTTCCAGAGTGAAATCCAAAAAAAGTATAATAATTTTTAATTATTAAATATTGAATTATATAGTGACACTTAAATAGCCCTTTGTTCTTTTATTGGTCCATATATCTGTAGTAATTTTAATGTAAGATTTGGGGACTTTCGGTTTGGACAGTCTTGCTTTTTAGGTTGATGTCACAAGTCCTACTTTTCACTCTTCTCATCTTCTCTGTCTTCTCGTCAAAAAATTAATTTTTTTGTCAATTTTAATTAAAAACAAGATTTTAAAACATTTCTGAAAAAGTTTTTTTCAAAAGTTTTTTTAATTTTTAATTTGAATTAATTTAGAGAATATATTTCATGTTCCCTAAAAAAAACTTTAGGTTTAAAATCATTCAGTATGTTTTAAAAGAGGAAATATTTTATGATAACATGCACTGATATTAGCTTCATCTTTTGAGGATACATGAGTTTCAGTTTGATTACAAAGAAAGTTGCACCATTTATTGATAAATACTTGCAATTGCACTTGGTTTTTTGAACAATCAATAGTTGAAAACTATCAAAAGCTGTCCTTTTTTTATATTTTTGTGCAGAGCAGTTCTACTTTTTAGAACTTTGTCCAAAAAAAAACACCTCTGTTTGGCTCACAAAATTAGGAACAGTTTATGTTAAATGTACTTTAAGAAGTTTATTAAATGCTATTTAAAGAACAAGCTTTCTAAATGTTTAGCATTTCATACATTTTGTTTTTTTTTTGTGACACTTGTGTAGTTGCCTTCTGTAACTGAAAAAAAGTTTTTCACAATAGATAATGATATTTTGAATTGTATCTTCTATTATATGAGTAAATATATTTTATGTCAATTCCTCTAGAAACAAGAAATTAGTTACTTAAAATTTTTGCTCCTTTTTATTAGAACATACCAATCAAATTGATAGGTAACTTGTCCAAATGGACTCATCTTAAATATTTTACAAAATGTTCAGAAGTGTGAGTCCTAAGATTCTTGCTTTTAAAGTCACATAATTACTATTTATTCCTGATCATAGCTACTAAAAGATTCTTGCTTTTAAAGTCACATAATTACTATTTATTCCTGATCATAGCTACTAAAAGATTCTTGCTTTTAAAGTCACATAATTACTATTTATTCCTGATCATAGCTACTAAAAGATTCTTGCTTTTAAAGTCACATAATTACTATTTATTCCTGATCATAGCTACTAAAAGATTCTTGCTTTTAAAGTCACATAATTACTATTTATTCCTGATCATAGCTACTAAAAGATTCTTGCTTTTAAAGTCACATAATTACTATTTATTCCTGATCATAGCTACTAAAAGATTCTTGCTTTTAAAGTCACATAATTAATTATTTATTCCTGATCATAGCTACTAAAAGATTCTTGCTTTTAAAGTCACATAATTACTATTTATTCCTGATCATAGCTACTAAAAGATTCTTGCTTTTAAAGTCACATAATTACTATTTATTCCTGATCATAGCTAGATTTAGTAATATCCAATAATTACAAAAAATTATTTGCAATTATTGGATATTACTAAATCCATTGAATACTTTGGTCATTAACTATATATCTACTTTAAATCTGTCTTTAACTATATATCTACTTTAAATCTGTCTTTAAAAAGGAACTACTTTTCTCCTAAAATTAAAAATAATAAATTGTTAAAAGTTCAGATTTTGCAGAGGTAATTATGTAGTATAAATATATGAATATATTATACCTCTATGTAAAATTGCCTGTGTGAAATGATTTATATGTAATCACAAAGCCTGATTTAACATTTTGATTTGAAAAAGTTAGGATCAGTGGGAAACTGAGTTAAGACATAGTTTGGTTTCTATGGCTACTAATCAGTTGTTGTAACCATATTATATTTAATTTTGTTGCATTTCTTTTAAAATTTTGAAGTTTATAGTTATTCAAAAATGTAAGGCATCAAAAAAAAAATTTAGAAACAACAATAAGTATTTCAAATAAAACAACATTAGCATGAAATATCTCAATAGTTTTTAATTTTGGTTGTATTTGCTTTAGCGTATGACATCGATCAATCAAGTAGAGCAATGTATTCCAGGTTTAATGGAAAAGTATAATCAACTTCAATCTAGCATAGAACAGCGTCTTAAGTGGGCATCAGGTGCAAATCCAGCTCTTCACAGTGTTTTGAAGAATTTTGATGATGCTGTAACTAAAAGAAAGAATTTTTTACTTGTAAGTTTTTTGCTTTTGTTTCAACTTTTATTATGTCTTTAATCTTTCACTCCCTGCAACCCGCTCTGTGGGTCATGTCGAAAATGGTATTTGATCACTTAACCAAAGCCTTAAAAAAATAGGAATTTTAAAAAGATTAGTTATTTTTCTGACAAGAAAAACAAGGTCTCATTTGTGAATTTCTGACAAATAGTTTTATTTTTTATAGCTTTTATATCAATTGTGACATTTCACCTGCAGTTATTTAATTGTTTTTTACTTGGAGTGAAAGAGTTGAACTTTATATTTTTTATTCATTTATTCTGTATGTTTGTAAAAACTATATTTAGTCTGAAAACAAACTGTTTCAAGATGTTATTAATCTTGCTTCCTCGATTATTGCTATGGAAACATACAAAGCAAATTTTCATGAGTCGGACCTGTTTGATCAAGCTGTTGTATCATCTGTTGTAAAGTATGTTTATTACATTGCAAATCTGGTAATTCTATATATATATATATATATATATATATATATATATATATATATACAGATATGTATATATATATATATATATATATATATATATGTGTGTGTATGTATATGTATATATATAAACATATATGTATATGTGTATATATATATATATATGTGTGTGTGTGTATATATACATATATATATATATATATATATATATATATATATATATATATATATATATATATATATATATATATATATATATATATATATATATATATATATCAAAATTTTGGACACCATTTTTAGCCCATTTACGTCAGAAAAAGGAGAAACCATTCGATTGTCATAAAATAGAACTGCCTTTTATTAAAAATAACATATAAACAAAAACAAACAAAAAACCTTTAAGCTGAAGATGCTGGTCATAACAATCCAGCGAAAATTTATATATATATATATATATATATATATATATATATATATATATATATATATATATATATATATATATATATATATATATATATATATATATATATATATACACAGTATTGGCCATTAATAACAATCCATCAAGTTATTTTAGTATGAATATAAGTTTGAAATTAAATATTTTATAAACTAAAAGTGATTTTTTCATATCATAAAATAATAAAAATTAAAAAATAAATTTTGAAATTAAACAAGTGTTCATTTGTATCAAGAAAAAATGTGGTCAAAATAAACAAACCACAAAAACAAAATTAACAAACCTTAATTAATAAATACTTGCAAAACACAAAAAAAGTAGAATTAATATTTTGTTGACAATCCTTTTGCTTTTAAGCATTCACTGATATGTTTCGGCATAATGTTCACTAAATTCTGAGTAATTTCTTTTCGAACACTATTCAGTAATTTTGTTACTAATTCTTTCAGCTGGTGCAGGTCTTTTATTTCAATTTTACCAAAATTGTGATTTAACTTAGACCACAAGTTCTCTAGGTAATTGAGATCTAGACGATTGGCAAGCCAAGACATCTAATGTTGTTTTCTTCAAACTAATGCTTGCAAATCTATAGCAGTATGAAGCATTAACTTTTAGAAGATTCCCATCTCTTTTGGGAAAATGTCAACAGAAGGCATTAAATAGTTATCCAATATGTCTAAATATCTTTAAGAATTGAGCCTTCCATCAAATACTTTGACACGACACCTTCATAGTTTATGCAGGCCCAGATGCCTATACTACCACAACCATGTTTTGTTCTATAACTAGAACAATTTGGCTCCAATTTTTTATGTGGCTTTCTTCTCAGCATTACTTGGTTTTTTCTTAGTTTATTTCATCTCTGAAAAGAATGTTGTGCCCATGCTCACAAACCAAATTTTATAAAGTTTTTTTTGTTTTCTGATGTTTTATCAATAGAGGTGGTTTTTTGCAAGCAGCTCGCCACGTGTAATTGTGTTTTTGTAATACTCTTTTAATTGTTTGAGCACCAGCAACAACACCAGAAGCTTTTTGTCCTTTTTGAATGAGATCACTAGATGATTAACATCCTTTTTTTTTCACTATGCAAATAAGTGAACGTTCATTTCTTTTATTTGAAATGCTGAGTCTTCCAGAGTATGGAAGATTTCGAATTGAATTTTATCTTTAATATCAGCTGATTATTCTGCTAAAATGTGTTGTGTTGAAATGTTTTGCAATTTCTTTCATTATGATGTTTCCTTCATTCATTACTATGATTTTACATTTTGTTATATTATCAATAATATTTTCAGTCAGTTTGATTGTTTTATTGCTGAAATATTGTAGTTAATTAGGTACTTATTTTTCTATTCGATTTTATGCAAATTTTTCAAATATTTATAACAATTTAAGTAAAAATTCTCAAATAATTGTAATTAGTTTGCAAATAAGCGCAAAGTTTTAATCAAAGACAAATAAAATTTTGAAGGAAGTTTGAAATAATAGAGTGGATTGTTAATTTTGACCATAATAATTATTTTAGATTATGGGATATGTCAAAAAAAAAACAATATAATTAGCAATTCAAATAATATTTTTATGAATAGTTATATTTATTTTAAAGAAAATAGAATGCTCATCAATATACATTTTTTATATTTAAGAAGAGTCAAATAATCATTGATTTAATATCAAAGTCCAATTACATGAAAAAAAACATGCTGGTATGATATATATATATATATATATATATATATATATATATATATATATATATATATATATATATATATATATTTATATATATTTATATATATATATATATATATCATCTGTTGTAAAGTATGTTTATTATATTGCAAATCTGGTAATTCTGTGTGTGTGTGTCTATATATATATATATATATATATATATATATATATATATATATATATATATATATATATATATATATATATATATATATATATATATATATATATATATATATATATATATATTTTTGCCGTAAGAATATTTACAGAAACATTGCCAAATACAGACATTTTTGCGCGAAAAAAAACTATATTTGCCATAGATAAAAAAAAGTTTCTCAATTTTTGAGTTTGTTCTTAGAATTAGGAAAAATGAGGTTCAAATATATGGCTGAATGATTGCCGATTTGCATGAAATTTAAACTAATTTTGACATTGTACATCAAGTGTTGAGGCATATAGTGATCATGCCCTATCAGAAGCAACGTGCAAAAGATGGTTTCAATGGTTCAACAGATAATGATTTTGATGTGAGAAATGAAGAATGTGCAAGAATAAAGTTTAAAGAATGGAAGCAATAGGATGAAGCTTCATCCAATAGGATGAAGCTGCGCAACAAACCATTTCTGGCTGTTTAAAAGCTATGGAAAACTGAAAAAATGTAAAATTTTGCTTCAAAAACACAAAAGTTTTGCATTGAATTGTTACTGGTGAAAAATGAATTTATTTAAGAATCCTAAACTGAAAAATGTGTTAATCCGTGACAAACATTAACATTGACTGTAAAACTAGATCAATTTGGCAAAAAGGCAATGTGTTTAGTGGGATCAGAAAGGTGTAGTGTGAGCTATATGCTATATGTATCATGAGCTTCTAAAAATTTGCTTTTGGAACTTGTTTGAGAGTGAGAGAGTTATTTGTTGTTATAGGAATGTTAATATTGCAATAGTTATTTGCTGTAAATAACTGAGTTTTGTTGAAGTTAAAATCCACAAGCAACTGCAAACCTCAAGCTGTTACAGAAGAGAAATCAGATTTAAAACGTCTGCTTGTTTTAAGCAATCAAACAGATTTTTTATCAAGACATAAATTTGAGTAGTCAGCAAATAGAGCTCCTTTAGATGTAAGATTGTCAGTAAGATTGTTAATGTAGATAGGAAACAATACAAAACAAACAAGAGCAAAAATAGAACCTTGCCATTCTCCTAAAAAGTTACTAGAAATAAAGAATAGTATTGGCCTTTGTGATTGATTTTAATACTGAGGTTAGAAAGAAATGTTTCAATAATCTTAATAAAGAAATATAATCATAAGATAGTTAGAGAGGTTTCTGGAGTGTTTTCTAGAGTTTTTTAAATATTGTAACCACCTATTTAACACTTTAATAGTTTAGCAAGAAATGAATAGAGCTCTTTTAAGGTAATGATGATAATGCTGTCTACACTACAAGCCATAGAAGAATTTAATTGAGATATGACTTTAGCAATGGAAGCTGGAGTGATTTGAATGGTTTAACCTGTTTAACAAAGTTAATTGGTTAACTTGTTTAACCATGTTAATGGGTTAATTTGTTTAACAATGGGTTAACCTGTTTAACTGTAATGGCAGCAAGAGAATGGTTGTTAGATTCAAGAGTCAAAATAGAGGAAAAGTTCTTTACAAATAACTTTGCCTTATTCTGGGGAGAACTAATAAGATCAGACCCATGAATTAGAAATGGGATGTTAGACTTACTTCAGTTAATGATACTGTTGAAGATTTTTTAAAAGTCTCTAGAACATAACTGAGATAATCTGAGATAAGATAAAAGCTTTAGTAAACTGAGAACAATAGGGCCTACCATAAGACAGGAACTTGTTACAATAATAAAAATAGCTTCTTGCAAAAACAAAAGAAGAATTTGTTTTTAGGAGAGATACTCATGAAAAAATGATTGTAAAAATGATTACAGTTTATGTTAAAATGATTACAGTTGTAATATAGCAACTGCACAAGTAGGTGAAAAACATTGAGTAGAATGATGTTTGACTTTATACTGATGAGTAGGAATAAAAGCTTCTATACCTGCTTAAATCCAGGTGGTTAGGAAATAGGCACTATATTCATATTATGTATACATTTATGTATACATAATATGAATATATGTGGATATAAACATATATGTTTTCTGTTTATTTAGATGCTAGCATACAATATCTTTACATATTTATATAAACTTTAGTATTTATATGTATTTGGCAAAAGAAAAGATAACGATCTTATGGATGTGTAATATGACTCTAAAAAGACAAAAAAATAGCCATAATGTTAGACAGAGGTTAGAAAAATTAGGTTTGTTGAACCTGGTCACAAACCTGGCCTAGCTATTTTTTATCAAACTCACTTAGGTCAAATTTCAACCCCAGTCACATACTACATGCATTAAACAAAAAGTGACCAGAATGGGTCAGAAGACACTATAAAATAATATTGTTACATGACATGCACCTGCACACAAAGCACTTGGGTGGGAGCTGCTACCCCAGCAGTCGTATTCATCAAACTTGGCCTCTTCCAGCTAACATTTTTTTCCATCAATCCATTGGCTGAGCAGCACTTTCATCCCTAAAAAAAAGTCCAAAATAAGTGTCTGATTGGTTTGCTTCAAAAGACAAGCATTTCTATTGGCGTGGAATTTACAATGTGCCAGAAAGGTGATCTAAATGTGTAGAAAGCAACGGTCAATACTTTGAATAAATTTTTTTTACTTATTCAAAAAGTATCATTTCATTTTCACAATAAAAATTTCATATCGGTACACCTGATATATCATTTAATGGAGATTAAATTTGTTAAAAGTTAAAAAATGCTATGTTTTTATCACATATTAATATAAATATATTATTATCATATTGTTAATTGTGGTTACAAACCTTTCTCATTTATACAACACAAATAATTTCTGAAACACAAACCTTGACAAACAAGGCGCAAAAAAAAAGTTAAGTGTGGTACTACTAGTGCTCTAAACTTCTACCTTCAAAGCCAGCGCTTTTTCTCTACCACATTAATAGATCAATTTTTGTGCATATTTGAATGTATTTTAAAAGAAATGTAGGCAACAAGCTTAAAGGATAATTCCATGTAAAACTGGGACAAAAAATTGAAATTTTTCAGTCACCTCAGATTTCTTTCAAATTTTACCTAGTGGTACCTATCAATGTAACATGAAAAAATGTAAAGTTTGAGCTCCCAAATCCAAGTGGTTCAAAAGTTATGACATTTTGAAATTTAACCTAAAACACCCTATTTTTTCCACATCCCCCATTACGGGCTTTGTAGCAGTACTTTTTAATGAATAATTTAGGATCTAGCGGAAGAAAGAGGCTAAAAATTGGTATCTGACCATTCTCGAGGGTGCTGAATTCAAAAATGTAGAGAAAATAGTGAAATTTAAATTTTTTGATAAGTATTATTTAATTTTAAAATAGTCAGTCAAATTTTTGGTTCTGTTACCATGGGTTGCGCTTTCATCAACATCCGGAGTTGCCCAGGTTTCATGGACTTTTTTTTTCAAATGAAGTAGGTGATCCAAGACTATCTTTATAAAAAAGATGGTTTTGGTTTCTTAAAGCATTATAAAGATGTCATTTTGGACTTTAGACAAAAAATTCCTTATTTGGACTCCAGTCCTCTGTCATAGATTTTTTAGCAATTGTGTATGTGTAAATAATTTATGTTTTAGTGGAAAAAACTGACTGAAAATTGGTATCTAACCATTTTTAAAGATGCTGAATCTAAAGAAAATAACCAATGTTAGTTCAAAATGTTTAATAGCTGTTTTTTTTTTTTTTTTTATAATGGTAAAAAGTTACTTAACCCTAAAATGAGGTAAGGTTTTCATGAGTTGCCTTACTCTTATGGTTTCAGTTGTGATGTGTAAAAATAGTTTATTGAGGTTGGTTTTGATATATTAATGAAGTTTTTTGGAGAGAATTGTTATGTGAAAATATAGTTTTGCAATGTCTGCTATGATGTATAAATATATATTTGTGACATCAGTTATGTTTTAAAACGCCAGTTGTTTAAGCTTAAAATTATTTTAATTTTAGATTAAATAATTGAGTCTTGTTTGGTAATTCAGTTTCTTAGTCATGGCAAACAACCAACAGTGCTCCATTAGAATCATGCTAAAAAGTGAATGTCATCTTTCAACATATACATCGTTTGGAGGACTGGGCTATCAATAATAAATGTCAAACCAACAACATGTCTCCACCATAAACATGTTTATTTGAAGCGTTATGTACCTAAATTAACACGGTTCTGCAATCCATTCAATAGTCATAACAAAGTTATAAAAGGTATTTATAGTAATCACAACTTTTAGTTTTGTGAAAGTGTTGTAAGTTACAACAATGAAGTTAAGAAAATGCAAAGCTTTTACGCGACCAAAAAGGCATCATAGTATACCCTAATGTGGTTGAGCAGCATCAAATCAGTAAAGATGTTATAGAACTTATAAAGCTTTTTTACTGTGACGATGAGTATTCAAGACAAAAGCCAAGTAAAAAAGACTGTGTAAGTGTTGGGAAAAAAAATGTGGCATATAAAATTAAATACCCAGACCATAAAATTGGATTTTCTAAATATTGCAGTCTTTGGCCTAAATGGTGCATCCTTGCTGGTCTAAAAGGTACATATTCTGTTTGTGTGTGTACAATACACCAAAATGTTAAATTAATGTTGAGTGCTGTAGGCCTTGAAACATCTTACCATAAAATCATTGAAAATATTGTCTGCAGCAGAAAATCGAAAGCAGTATCTTACACAAAATGATGATCCAAAAGAGCAATATGACAATGACGAAAATGAACAGTCAGTGGATTTCAAACAGTGGACAACGACAGATAGGACCAAACTATTAATAATAAAACTTCCCTTAAATGAGTCTATAAAGCTCCTGTGTTAAAACTTGATAAAATTACTTCTCATTCATTTATAGCAAAATCACAATCTAGCTATCTAAAGCATCTCAAAGAAACAATTAGTATTGATGAGGCTATTGTTCTCGCAGATTTTGTGGAGAATTACACTTTTGTAGTACAAGAAGAGATACAGAGTTACCATTGGAGCAAGAGTCAATGTTCTCTTCATCCAGCTGTCATCTACTACAAGAAAGTGAAATTGGAAATATCTTCTTTTTGTGTTTTTTTCAAATTTCAAATGATTTGAATCGTGATGTTGGATTTGTCAATGAAGTTATGCATAAAACCATTAATCATATAAAAATTCATCTTTGTCCCACAATTACAGAAATTCATTATTTTTCTGATGGCTGTGGTATCCTATGTGGTATGATTTTGCTCTAAGATTTGACTTCAATAAACAAAAATATGAAATTAATTAAATTGACAATGTTATGATGTCACAATACCTATATTGCAAATACGATGATTTTTACTGGCTTGGTATGGTTCCTGAAATTGATAAAGGAAATGATAATTTTATGGTAAAGTTTATGCATCTACATTATCCAAGTCAGTCATAGTACTAACTTATAAAGAAATAATAAGTCGGTCGTACTACTAGCCAAAGCGAGATGATAATTGTTGGGTGCCAAAAATGAATGTCATTTCTTTTGTTTAAACACCATCAACATCTTATGGGCATCAGTACCACATCTCAAAAGAAGATGAAACTCTATTTGAACAGCTTTTACTCTGTCAGTGAAAATTGATGAATATTTTACTTTTATTTAAATGATATAAACTTTAATTTTAGTAATATTTGGTTGTTCCTCTTTCTTTTTATTTTTGAGCTTTTTTCAATAAAGCAGATTTTTTACTATTTTTTACTATTTTACTAAAAAGTTTGCATTTTAGTTTCTTATTTTTTAACGCTACATTTGAGCATGCAATCTAATATTAAGCATGCAGCCAGTATTTCGAAACAATACCTAATTATTAGACATTAATTGATAATGTCAAGTTAAACTATTTTAATATAGAAATTATATTTTCAATGTGTTGTATAGTAAATTATATTTCCATGTATACTTTTGAAAATATTGATTATAAATATGCAAGTTATGCAAGCAATATAATTTTTTAATTTTCTTTCATAGACCTAAACTTTTCTAAGACCTCTTATTTCACAATGAGAGTAAGTCTAATCCAGAAATAAGTGAAATGTAAACTATGGTTACAAAACAAAAAATTTGACTGCTGATATTGTAAAATTAAAAAATTATTCTCAAATATTAAGAGTTAGGTTAATTTCACTTAATCTTTGTATTCAATATCTTTAAAATTGGTCAGGTACCAATTTTCAGTTATATTTTCCACTAGAACTGAAATTATTCACCCAAAAATTAATGCTATAAATTCTATAATGGAGAATAGAGGCTACCAAAAGATTTTTTTTTGTCTAAATTTCAAAATGACATATCTTTATAATGCTTTAAGAAACCAAAACTTTTTTCTAAAGATAGTCAGGATCACCTATTTCATTTGAAAGAAAATTGAATCCATGAGACTTAAGCAACTCTGGGAGTTAATGAAAGCGCAACCCTTGGTAAAAGAACAAAAAATTTCACTTACCATTTTAAAATCAAAAATTAATCATCAAAAAATATAAATTTCACTATTTTCTTTACATTTTTGAATTCAGCACCCTCAAAAATAGCCACTAATCATTTTTAACCGCATTATTCCACTAGATCTTAAATTATTTATTAAACAGTACAACTACAAATTCCATAATGGCAGACGACAAAAATTGTTTTAGGGTGAATTTCAAAACGTCATAACTTTTAAACCGTTTGGATTTGAGAGCTCAAACTTTACATTTTTTCATGTTTCATTGTTATGTACCACTGGATAAAATTTAAAGAAAATGGAATTACCCTTAACAGTCATCTATATTTTACCATATAATTTTAGGTTTAAAGAATCCTGTGAAGCCTTTGAAACCTGTATGGATGAACTGGGTGATGTGGAACAATTCATGAATAGTCTTAAGGTCTAAAATTTTTATTTTTTTTCTGTTTTTTCAAATATTGATAACACTTTAAGCGTTTTTGTTACAGATTTCAATGCCACCTCATAACATTATAAGCTTTGTTGTTATAGATTTCAATGCCACCTCATGAGCCTATTACTATTGATTGGATGAAAGCGAGACTTGAAAAAATTGAAACACAAATGAAGAGTAAGCGAGCAAAAGATCCAATAATAAGAAATGCTATTCAAGTTGAAAGGGTAAATATTTAATTGATTTTTGTTATTGTGTTTTTAAATTTTTATTAAAGAGAAAAAGCATATAGAAATTTTGTTATTAAATAGTAGCATAAAACAGAATTTAAAATGATAACAATTTAAAAATTTAAAACTGCTAAATAAACTAAAACCATTTATTGCATTAGCATGAAGCTATAGAAATCCCTACATGTCCCTTTATAAACTTTTCTCATATTTTACACAAAAAAGAAAATTGGAATTGCTTTAATTTAAAAATTACTTAAAGAAAAAAATTTAATTTTAATAAATTTATTTTACTAAACACTGTTCAAGTTACAGAACTCTTAGTATCTCTATTTGGTTTCTAAATACCATTCAAATTACATAACTCTGTGTATCTTTGTGTTTGTTCTAAACGCTATTCTTAATTTAAGTCTCTATGTACCTAAATGTTTATCATAGACTTCATCATAAAAACTTTAAAACCAAGATTGAAACTTATTTAAACTTAACATTTAATTCAATAAAACTTTAAAACACTTTAAAACTAAACAAAATCTTTTATTTCAAACATACAGCGCATAAAAATTGTTTATTGTTTAGTGCAGTTCATTAACATAATGGTATTTTTATGTGTAAATATTTATGTTGGTGTTACATTAAGTTGTAAAAACTGCTAAAAGAAACTAATTTTTTTGAAAAATATTTAAATATACATTAGATAAAGGTATTGATGACTATAAATGAACAGGCTCTGGTCTTTGTTTTGTGTATTTGTTGCACAAGCAAGCTATGCATACACTGCACAAGTTGTGTGTTGTTGGAGTATTGACTATAGCTCTTTTATATTTAAAAAAAAGCCTCTAGAGATCCTACCAAAAATGATTTTGTAGAAGTCTTGAAAAAATGATTTTGTAGAAGTCTTGAAAAATGCTAGAAATTTTGGCAAAGTTGAGAATGTAGATTAGTTTTTCTAGTGAAAAAAAAAAGCTTTGTTAACTTTAGTATTCAGTGGGATATTTTTGTTGAGCTGGATTATTTTTGTTGAGCTGGATCAAATTATCAGGAATTCATCCATAATACAGAATGCAGATATTTATCATTTACTTCATGAAATTAAATTTGAATCCTAAAATTTACTGATCTTAGTCTTCCAAATGAGTTGAACTCGTTGAGCTATGAAACTACAGCTTGTTAAAATGTTTATCTTTTTATTAAGTGATTTCTCCAACTGTTTGTAAGCTCTTGGAACAAGATGTGTAGAAGTATTAGAATTGCCTATTAGTTTTTGTTCTGAGGCTTTGTCACAGAGACTTTGAAAAAAGATATTTTCAAAGCTATATTGAACCATGTAGGCTAGATTTCTAGAAAAAATCTTATGAGCCAGTACCAATACCTCTTGATCAGAAGTGATATTTTTAAATTTGTGTTTTAAAAAACAGATCTGAAAATAGAAAAACCTATTTCTGTTTAAGTTTAATGAAGTAATTACCAATACTAATAAAGCAATATTTTGGTTTTTAGACCCGAATATTTTAATTTTAATTTGTAAATATTTTATATAAATTAAAGATAATTAGATAGTTTAAAAAAAGTTTGAAATAAAACTTAAAATTTTTTTAGAAAAATCTTAATTTAATGTTTAATGGTTTTTTCTGTGTCCACTAAATAGTTTTCCGGTTCTAGGAACCACAGTTGCATTTATTATTCCATTCTTCAAATGTTATCAGGTTTGCTGCAAGTAAGGCATTTCATGTTCCAACTGCCAAAAATCAATCTAGCACAACTTGTCTTTCAACAAACTTGCATCTTTTCTCTGTACTTTTATACATATAGTTATTTTTCCATGTCAGTGCATTAGAATTCTCCCCCATCTTTTTTTTTCCTTAACTTAAAATATACAGGTTTTGAAGTCTTTTCTCAACTGTTTTCTTGGTCTTTAAATAATTTCTCTATTTCCTAGTTACTTTTAAATTTAAATAGGGGTTGTCTGCAGTCTTGTTTGAAGTAAATTTGTTTAGACTAAAATTTTACATGTTTTGGTTTAAGAAACTCAAATTTTTTTGCTGTGCTTAGTGGTCATAAAAGACTCAAACACACATACAAGCTTGTAGTATGCCTCAAGTATGCATAAAATCTATTTTAAAAATATTTTGAATTTTTGGTTTTTTTAACTCACTTTTGGTTTTTTAACATTTTTTTGATTCACTGTACTTCAGTTTTTTTCATTCATTGTACAACAGTCTTTACGCTTTAAACCAAATGGAGCTTCAAACTCCAAGTTTTAAAGTTAACAATAGTTGTTAAAAAGCCAGGTAAAAGAAATTTAATTATCACCAAAGAAATAAAGTTTTAAACAAAGTTTCCAAAAAAAATTTTTGTTTTTTAATTTTTTAAATAAAAAATTTTTTTTTCAGGAAAATTTAAAAATGGAGTTGTCAGTTGTAAAAGCAAGCTTTACATCTCATCATGCACTTGTGGGAGAGGTGAAAGCAATGTTGAAAACGTTGGCAAAGGTAAATATCTATATAATAATTTTCATTATTTAATAATATAAATTAAACTATATAAGATATAATGTAAATTAACATATAAGTTACTTTAAAATGAGAGTGCAAAATACGTTTTTAAAGGATGAAGAAGCAGAAGAATGTCTAAATGTGCGAAAATTTATTCAGGCACATAATAAGTTTTCAGATGACTCTTCCATTGTTCTCAAGAAAATACTTAACTGTATGATGATTTTTTTTTTATATTGATTTTCATTTTGATTTAAATAGAAAAGTTGAATCGCAATTTTGCTTTATTAAATTAATAAGAACATTTTATCTCTGCTTCTAGTAAGTAGCACCAATCGTATTGATGTATCTGGTGAACTTGTACAACAATATGAAGATGATTCACGTGTAACTGTACAAATGATTGAGGAGCTTATTACCAGCGTGAAAATGCAAGTTAACAATTTTTTTTTATCTTTATAATAATATTTGAAGATAATTTATATATTAACATAAAATATAAAAGTATATATATATATATATATATATATATATATATATATATATATATATATATATATATATATATATATATATATATATATATATATATATATATATATATATATATATTTAATTGATACTTTAGGTTACATGATCAGTTGTTATTGTTTGGAATGAGTAACTTAAAGTCAGAATCAGAACAAAGTTAGAATTATTATAATTATTATTTTTTCATTTATTTTTTATTTTTTGCAGTAACACTTGTATAATTCATATAATACTTGTTTGTGATGAGACAACAACCCCCTTTTTTTTTGTGATGAGATCCCCATTTTTTGTTATATTTTTGTAAATTATGTGACTTTATTATTACAAAAAAATGTTAAAAGAAACCAGAGGAACCTAAGTTTTTTACATCAAAATGCCTTTTACTGTTCAAAAAATTACTTAAAATCAAAAAATGTTTAAAGCACTAAATGAATCTGGTTTATTTTAACATTTTTTGTAATAATTGTTAAATAAACCTACTCCCAATACATGTGTTCATATTAAAGCTTGAAAAAAAACCCACATGTGTTCATTTTAAAGAAAATATACATTTATATATATTTATAGAAATATACATTTATTATAAAAACTAAATAATAAATGTATATCAGTAAAAACTTAAAAATTTTTGTTTTAATTGAAGTTTGAAAAATAAATTCTCACTAAATCCCAAAAAATATTGATAAAAATAGAATCAGCTTTTTAGATTGTATCAACTTATTTTTAGCAACCATTTGATTATTAAGTTGATAAAATAATACAAGTTTTATAAAAAAAATTTAACAAAAATATATCCAATAGTTTTTACATGGATAATTAAATTTCGTTAACATGCAATTTTTAATAACAAGATATTTCTGATATTAAACTGTTTGGCAGATCAAGACTGAGTATTTTTATTGGTACCAACATTAAGGTTGCTATCAAAAGGCTTTCAAGTGTCGTTGTTGCAACTAATATATTTTCTAAAGTTGACTAAAATCAACTAATACAATTTTGAAATCAGCTATGTGGGCTGAAAGTTGATTTTGAAAAATAATAAAGTTATTTATATTTGCTTTTTGATTTTTAAAATATCTTTATTTTTCCCTAGTGCTCCAAGACAGCTTGAAGCTTCAAGACAGCTTGAAGCTTCAAGACAGCTTGAAGCTCCAAGATAGCTTGAAGCTCCAAGACAGCTTGAAGCTTCGAGACAGCTTGAAGCTCCAAGACAGCTTGAAGCTTCAAGCTGTCTTGAAGCGGCCTTGTATGAAAGTATTTATGAAATTCGCAATAATTAAACAAAAGAAGAAAACAAACTAATGAAATACATAATCTAAAGTTTAATTAGGTATAAATAATGTTAAAATGCTATGAATTTGATAAAACTTAAAGAAAAAAAAAACTAGGTAACAGTTATAATAGTACACACTATTGTTATTAAATAAACTAACAAAAATTAAAAATTGAAAAGTTAAATTGAATCAAAATATATAAAGATTTTAGATTTTTTACTTGACTAAATCAATTTTTTCTCAATTAGTAGGAAGTCCATAGTCGATTAAATTGGCTATTCAATTTTTATCGACTAAAACTCAAGAGTCGAATTTCAATTTTTGACTTTTAGTCAATAACAAGACTACTTATAAGCTCCTTCTACTGTTATCCACAATTCAGAAATCAAAGTTTTTTTTTCCTAAGTAAGTTATCATTTTATGCATGGCTAAAGAACCTTGTCTGCCCTAACACAAAAAAAGAATCTAGTAGATAAAAGTAGAATGTTTTTGGAGCTTTTATTCCAAGCAATAAACATATACAGTGATATACAGTGTACTAGGATTGCTCTTTTTGTTTTTTAGTATATGTGTGATCTAATACCTATATAAAATTCTCTTGTTTTTTTGTTGTTTTGTTTGTTTTGGGTGGATTTTGGTGATTTTTGTCCAAAAAAAATATTCTAATAGCATTTTGTATTTTTTAAACAAAATTTTTATCAAACTCTAAGATGACTAGATATTTCTAAGTTGTTGAAATATGTTTATAATCCTTAACATAAAGTATAAACCTTTTACATGCAGCGTAAGTTACTTTTTTAGGTTTATCTGTGTTAACTGATTCGCAGTTAGACAATGGAGGAAAAGGTTATCCTGCACAGGGCATTAGCAATCTTGAAGGAATTAAACCAACATTGCCGCTAGCTATTTCTAACACAAACATTGGAATTAAAAATGGTGTAATTGGTAATACTTTGCTATGATGGTTTAATTTACATACTTTGTTAAAAAATATGTACAAAAAAATTTTTTATTTATTTAAAGCTACAACACCAAGGAAACTTCAAGGTAATGTTGCTCTGGCTCGAGATCCTAAGACTGGAAAAGGTAATAAACTGATATGTTATGGGTATACAAACTTTAAATATTTTTTCATATTTGTTATTTTTTTTTATTATATCATATATAAATATGTGTATTATTTTTCAGAATTTTATATATTTGTTATTAGCGCTAGGTGTATACATTTCATTACTATCACATTTAGATCACATTTCATTACTATTGTACTTTACTAATGTGTTGCAAGATTTATATACAGCTGTAGGATGTGTTGTAGGTTATATACAGCTGATGGATGTGTTGTAGTATATGAGGTGGATGCTAGTTGCTGAAACAAAACATTATTTTTATTGTGGCTTTAATGAGAGAAAAAAGTAATTAGTGCTAACTTTTTTGATACATTATGGTTACACAATCATACTCTTAAGGAGAAAATTACTTGCTAAGTTGTTGTTATTATGTTTATGTTGACTATGTTTCAACAAAAACATAGATATATTTAAAATATGTTTATTTGTGAATATGTTTTCACCCTTAGTTTTAATCTTTGATCTGAACATCTGACAAATTGTTTCTATAAGTACTTCATGTGTCTCTGTAGGTTTTAATTGCTCAGTGTAGTTCAAGCAACAGAGATTTTATGCACTACATACAGCAAAATTATTATTCCATCTCTTTGGGGTAGAATGTCTTTGGTTAGTTAGCAACAACTCTCCTGTTAAACCCCAACATAGACATATTTTTATGGTATATACTTATGCATAACCTAAATTGTCTTTCAGCAAACTTGCAAGTTTGCTGATTTTAAATTAGAACATAGTTAATGTTTTAATTTAAAATCCTAAAAATTAGTCTAAAATATTTTATTTCTAATTAACATATGTGTGTGTATATTTTTAAATATATATATATTTATTTTTTTATTATTATTTTTTTTTTTGCATTGTTATTTTTATTCTTTCAGCTCTGCAAGAAAAGAACACTTACGCGCTTAATGTTTGGAAGCGTGTGAAAGCAAAGCTGGAAGGTCGAGATATTGACAATGCACATCGTTTATCTGTATCTGAACAAGTAAGTTTTTATTTACATATTTACATAGACAACAAGAGTTAAGAATTTTAATTGTCTAATAAGTTTATACACAGATAGAAATGACAGTTTAAATTAGTTTTTGTTCTCTGTAAGAAATTACAAGTTTTATATTATCAAGACAAACACCATCAATTCTTTACATTTACTCTATTTTATATCTAAAAACCATGTAGTAATAATAGAAAGTATTTTGCCATTTTTAAATGACATAACACTTTCTAAAACATGTATACCAATCTCACGCAAGTTTAAACTGATTAGTTATTAAAACAAACTGGGTATTCACTGGAGATTTATTTTACTCTGTAGATTTTCTTCACTATTTTTGTTATGCAAATCTATTATAGTTGTAACAAATTAAAAACTAAAATATTATTTTTGAAAAAGAGTAGAAGAAAAAAAACCTTCAAAATTAATAAACTTTTTATATATCGATGAAAATAATTACAGATAGTTTTGTAATCCAATACTAAATAATAAATAAAACTAAATAATAATACTAAATAATAAATTTTTTAACCAAATGAATAAAAAGGATTTAAAATGTTATTAAGATTAAAAGATTAAGTTCAAAAAGTATATCGATGTACCATGTAATGGTACCATATTCATGTAAAATGTACCTTGTTTTGAAAAGGTTGTAAACTTTATATGGTTAAAACTTTTGAACACCAGGTGCTTTAAGTAAAATGATTATTTCCCAACCTTTTTCGATTGAACTTGTGATGAAATAACAGATGAACAAGATTAAAGGAGACATTCGAATCAAACATCTTTAGATTAAAAAAGTGAATCTGTTTTGTGTCACAAGTATTTTAAATTCTTTTATGATAAAGTTTAAATAAAACTTTAGTAAAAAAGTTCAACATTCCTTATTAAATTAATTTCAATTTGCTTGATGGTTTTTTTTATTGTTTGTAAATCTAAAATTGTGTGTTAAGTATTATAGTCGTGTGTAAACGATTGGAAGTTTCTTTTATCAAACATAAAATCTGGAGTTTGTTTACATTTATCAACCATAAATGTTGCAGTTTGTTTTATTTATCAAAATGTTGGATTTTATTTGTGAATATGGTGCAAAACATAAATAAAAGCAGTGCATTTTTTTTTATAATTTAATTGTTTTATTTTTTAAAATAATATAGTTGTTTTATTTTGTTCTGAATTGCTCAGACCGTCAATAGACATAAATTAATGTAAAAAAGTTATACTGTTGTACATAATTAACTTACTATAAATAATTTACATAATTTATGCACGACAAGAAATGTTGCTGAAATAATTTTATGTATAGTATACGTTTATCGATATACTTATATTGTGCACAATACTGGCCGCATTTGTCTAAAATCTTCATTTCTGTATAGTTCTTTTGAAATGCATGTTAATCAAAAATTTTGATCAAAAAAGTGTTCTAAAATTTTCTATTATTACTACTTGTAAAATTTTGTTTGTTTTTTTAATTTTAATATTTAATTTGATTTGTTTGTAAGAAATTAAAAAAATCAAGACATTTTTATTGAAATAATTTAACGTTATTTTAAATCCGAGTTTTATCCATGTATTATATTTTTATCGAGAGAATTGGAATAAGACTTTATTTACATATTTATGAATGTCAACATATTAATTGAATCTACATTACACCTTCATTAGTTTTTTTTTACTAGATATAAAATAAAGCTATAAATAAGAGAGGTATCTGTAGCATATGCTACGAATGCTTCTCTTTATTGTGTTTGTCAATTTTCACTCCTGATTCTTTCTTAATTGACCTTGTACGAAATACAAGTGTGTTTTTTCTCTGCTGGGTCTTCTAATGACATTTTTTATCCTTTAGACAATGTAAAAAACGCATTTTAATCATACTTTAAATAGTCTTACCTTCCAAACTTGAATATTTATCTCATAGTTGCATTAGACACAAAGTTGTGTCTCTTGCGACTAAAAACTTTTACAAGTCTTACTGTAATCTTTTATTTGCAACTCTTTTCCATCTTTTTGTTTTTATAATTTCTATAATTTTCAACTATTTTGTTAACCAACTTCTCATTCTTTAACCGTCTTCCTCGCTTTCTTTGCGAATCATACTTTTAATAGTACCTTCAGCCTCTTGGAGTTAATTTGTATAAATGTCTTTATTTTTATTTCTATTTATAAAAAGTGTAAAATATATATAAAAACGATAATCTATTACATTTTAGGTTAGTCACGTGATCGATGAAGCAATCGATTTGGATAACCTGTGTCAGTTATACGAAGGTTGGACTCCTTGGGTATAAAGATATGACTAACCCGTTAGCGTTGTTTAGTCAAGCCTAGCAAACCTTCGGTGCTATGCTTCGTGTGCTGGCGTTGCTATGCAGCTTCGCTTCAACACTCACATTTCTCTAACGCTATATATTTCAAGTATGTTTGATGCTTACAATTTTTAAAACTGAAGCCCGTCCGATGGAAACATGTTGAATATAAAATAGCGTTGACTAGTTAATGAGGACAGTTAATAGACAAGAAAAAGAGTTTCAAACTTTATATTATACAATGTAACTCTGGCTTTGGGAAAGTTGTTTTCACGAAAGATGAATAATTGATGAAGTTTAGTAAAATATTTCTTCAACAAGAATATTTCTAAAATTATCATTAATTTTTTCATTATGAAATTCTTGATTGTAATTTAAATAAATAATAAGAATGGTGTTGTTTTTTATAAATGACAATAAATATTTGACTATAAATGTATAGACATATTATATAGATAGATTTACAAAGTAATGAGTTGTCTATAAAATACGAACGCAAACGATTTAGAATTGAGACTGCTGCTACTGTTGCTTTCTTTAGGGATCGTCCACAAATTACGTATCGCAAACTTTCACAATAAACAAAACAAAAAAGATCAAAAGTCTTCCCTCCCTCAAAAAAGATCAAAAGTTTTCCTGTCTTAATTTAAATATAAAATCACAATTCTCCTTTAAGTTTAATGAAAATCGCCGCGTATTAAGAGTTAAATATATAATCCTACTTCAGTTTTTTAAATTTATTTTGCGTTGCGTAATTTATGGACGATCCCCTAGCGATTTAGAGTTTTTATAATAGTTCCAAAATATCATAATACATACGCTTTTGACTTTCCCTACATATTTCTACCCCTGAATTACGTTACAAAAAATTATAGCAGTGTATTTTCAAATGTAAAACACGAACTTATGGTTTATATCCGTTTTGTTATACTGATATAGCCATATTTCCAGTGTGAGTTGAATTAAGACAGGTGAGAGATTTTTATATTATTATAGATTTATATATAGATTTTTATATTATTATAGATTTAGATTTTTTAAGACAGAGGTGAGAGATATTTAAGACGAAAGTGAGAGTTGAATTATAATGAAGGTAGAGATTCTTAAGTAGTTTATTGTCACCTTGGCAATGTTCCTTTTGTTTTTGCTCTTTTAAAAAAATTTTGTATTTTTTAATTTAATTTCAAACAGCGATGTTTTTTTTTTGCGCGCAAATTTTGAAACATTGAATATCCTCTCTTATAAATTCTTTTTTTAACAAACTAAAATTCGTTATTTATTCTAGGGGATCTAGTTTACGGTTTTCACAGTCCTGAAATTTAAGTAGTGATAGTCCTAGAATTTTTGATTTTTTAGGAAAGTCCTGAAATTTTTAAAATTCTTCAAAAAATGCATGTTGCTTTTTAAAATATTGGTTTCAAAGTTAAAAGGAAATCTATTTTTTAGTCCTAATAATGAGAAATATAATAATCAAGTTTTCCATCTCACCAATCTATAAATAGTTAAAAAATAATAATTCTAAATATATAAAGTAAAGAACACAATTGGTTACTTCAAATAGTATCTCTTCGGGCTAAAGATTTAAACGTTTTTTTTCTTTCTAGAAACTGAGTTGAATTTGTTGAGTTTGTTCAAGAAATTGTTGTTTCCGTATTTATTTTTTTTTATTTTCTTTTAATTGATAATATGAAGTTAGATGTTTAGAATTGGTAGTTTAACTTTCAATCAGTTTGTAAAATTGTATACATTAAGATGCGTTCAAAACCTTTTTTAGTGTTATAAATTAATGCCGATAAACTAATGTGTGTTTCAAGATTGGTAATAAGATAACCGAATTCAAATTGAATTTTAGGAGAAAGATGCAACAGCTGTTAGGTGCAACTATTGCTTTAATGAAACTAATATTTATAACATTATATTTTTTCTAAAAAGAACATATCGTCGCCTCAGAGCAAAAATGTACTATCTACAAGTTTTGAAAAATTGAGATGAACGTGTAGATTAAATACTATCCGTATTAATTTAAAGGAAATATTTTGAAATAAATTGAATAATAATTGAATTATTGTTAATTTCTGAGGAAATCATTTTATTATAAGTAGCAAAATTTTGATTTGTGATATCTAAACTAAGTTTGTTTTCATTGCCCTGAAAAATGCAAATTTTGTAGATAGAACATTTTTGCTCTGAGGCGACGATATGAGAAACTGCATCGACATCACAAATCAAAACAAATCTACAAAAAAAAAGTATCAAAACAAATCTACTAAAAAACCCACAGCAAACCATTAAAATGTTTTTATCAACTTCCCTTCTGTCTACTCTAGAAACCTGTTCTGAAGCTACATCGCAAATCAAAAACGATTTAATGAAAAATATGTTTTAAAAGTTTAAATTTTTTAATTTTATTTTATTCTAAATTTTTACTTAATTTAGTGATCAACCAATTTTTACTTAATTCAGTGATCAACCAGAGAAACAAAACTCTAGATGATTTTGCGGATATCTTGAATGCCGATGAACAAGAACAACCTAAGTCAGAATTCTTTAAAAAAAAGTACAATACTGATGTGACCATACATAGAGGAAGAATAATAAATGGACAGTTCCAACAAAATCAGTAAGATAAAATAGGGCACATTGACACATCTTAAGAAAAATTTTTTTTTTAGCTGTGATAAACTAAATTTGGTATGCAATATTTCTATGTGTTTACCAATAATATTGCTGCCGTAAACTGATAAAGAATTTTGATGTTAGGGTTTAACTTTTACTGTTAAACCCTAACATGATGTTAGGGTTTAACTGTTTTACTGTTTTACCCCGTATATAACAACTTGAGCAGCCGTGGCGCAGTGGTTAGAATTCTGGCTCAGAACTCAGAGGTCCGGAGATCGACGCCAGCTCTAGCCCAACAAGCGACATTGGCACGGAAGGAGGCGTGAACTTCCCGTTAGATATATAGATATATATATATATATATATATATATACATATATATATATATATATATATATATATATATATATATATATATATATATATATATATATATATATATATATATATATATATATATATATATATATATATATATATATATATATATATATACCCAAACATAGACAATAGTATGTTTGGGTAACATTGATAGTAGTATGTTTTATGCTCTAAATCGCGACGTTATCTTGTTCTATCACCACATTTTTGAGTTTTGAGAAAAAACGATTTTAGAAGACGGCATATAAAAACATTTTTATAACTTAGGTTTTCTCCGCGACTTTTTTACTTAGAACTTAGGTTTCAATTAAGCATTCTGAAGTACATAACACTATTAATAATTTTTTTTTTTTAAAGTGGAGATAAAACAAGATAATTCTAATGTCGCGAAATGTTAAAGTTACACATTGAGGGGTAAAATTATCATTGCAATTTTGACAAACTAAATGGAGAAAACATTTTTAATATACTTATATATTAAAATATATATATTATATTAGCACCATTTTTTTTTTAAGATTAACTCTTTTAATTTAAGTATTGCTTTGTTTGATTCCACTTCTTGTAATCGTGAAAGATTTATCAGATGTAAGCATTTTGCCTACTTTTGCTTGATTTTCGGCCCATGGGGTCACTTAAGTATTCAATGTTAAAAAAATAAAAAATCTTAAATGCTTAGTATTTAGAAACAACTTCATAAAAACACATGTAAAATGATATTATAGTATGATTTTACTATTAAGTAAAATTTTTCTGCAACAAAAAACTAGAAATTAGTTTAATTTATGCCCGATCTATTTGTTATTAAAGAAATTAAAAAACTTTGAATGCAGAAAATATTTATTTATTGTACATATATAGATTGATAGTTATTTTGAAAAATGGTTTTTAAAAATATGCAATGAAACTTTTTTTTTTTTTTTTTTTTTTTGTAAGAAGCTGAGACTCAAGCTTTCCTCAAAACTGAAGTTGCCAACGCTGATTGAAACTCAGCGGTTATATCTGAAATTAACGAACCAAAGGTTTTACAAATATCATTGAATAGTATCTATGTCAACTTTCGAAAGTTTAAGTGAACAAAGGCAAGAGGAAGAACTCAATCCTCTTATTGGTGTAGAGACATGTGGTCACACATTAATGAAAGTTTGAAAGCTGGGGCAAAATACCTGTAGCTATAAATTAATTTATATTTTGAAATTAATTTATACTTTGCACGATTCGCCCACGTTCGGCAAAGAACTATGAAACAATTGCTGAAAGACTTGCATATCTACTAAAAATTTTTGTAAACAGATAATGGAAAAATAAAGGTTATACACAAAAAGCTGAACTGCTTTTTATTCTTACAAAAAATTTGTTATATATTAGTAATCTTGAAAAGACCAAATACCCAATAAGAATAAAAGTTGGTAGATACTAAAAGCAATCCAATTTCACCACAAAAGTTAAAACTCCTTAAAATAGTATCCAAAAAATTAAAAACATTTTTAACAGGCTTTCAAACATATAAAACCATGTGCTAGATATGACTATTATCCCTATGACCCATGACTTAATAATAATAGGTTTATTTCGTCAATTTTTCGTCAAATTTGGTAAGTGTTTTTTTATAGCTCTTTTAAATATATCAATAGATTTTATTTTTTTCATAATTTTGCCAAGAACAGAGTTCCCCAAGCATGGTCCCGGACATATAATTGAGAAGTCAGATTTTTTTAATGATATTAGTGGAATGTAATTACTTATTGAGTGTCTAGTTTTATATTTATGATTAGTTAGAGAAAATTTTTTAATAAAAATGTTTTGGAATTATTTCATTTTGAAGTTTAAACTTAAATAACAAGTTATGGTAGATATTCAGTTCATATACGTTTAGAACATTTATTTGCTAGAATAACTAGCTCAGCACTTTTGTACCTATCGTTCCTATCTGCACCCAAAACTAATCAACTTGTTTGCTTTTATTTTTGTATAAATATTTTTTTAGGAAAGATGAATGATTGTTTTTCTCTTTTTATTTTAATATTGTTATTTCTTTGTTCTGGTTTTTTGTCTTGTTTTCTGGTTTTCATATTGTTAATTGTTAGTTTCAAAAGTTTAAGTGGAAGATTTTCAGATTTAGATGGTTTAGCAAACAAAATATATTTAGTTTTATCAGTACTCAATGAAAGTTTATTTGCTATAAACCACTCATTAAGATATATTAGTTCTGTATTTAAATAATAAAAAATACTTTTTAAATTTGAATATGAAAAGAAAACATTAGTGTCATCAGCTTTTTGCTGATATAATTAAGTACTTTTGAGGACAAATAAATTTTATTTGTATAAATTAAAAACAACAAAGGTCCAAGTATTGATCTTTGTGGACAATGGCGTAGAAAGGTTTTTAAATGTTTTAAATAACCAACTTTTAAACAAAAAGAGCATTTTTTTACGTTTTTAAATTTCATATTAAAATATTTTAGTGTTT